GGGGGGGGGGGGGGGGGGAAGGAAATAAAAATATTAGCCGCCGCCCCCAAAGGAACCGCCAATGCGAATGATTAAATTGGTTTTGCGACACTCAAATATATATTCCTTATGATGGGAAAATGTGAATAAATGGCAATCAGACCAAACATACTAATGAATAGCTTAAAGGGAACCCAGCTTTGCCTGAAAATTAAACTTTCTCTACAAAAATTAACCCAGACAACCTAGATTTTATAAACAATACAATAAACATTGCTGTTATCCTACCAAGTCACCCAATCAAAATTTGAGGTAAATCGGTCAAGGGGTTTCTGACAAACAAACAGACAGACATAGATTTATACTTTAAATATATACCTTGGTAAATGTTCCTTTATCATCAGATAGTTTATATTCTACATCTAATTATAAAAATGTTTTAACAAAAAGTCTGTCTAAATTGGGAGAATGCCATTAAACACAAATCTGAATTATTTAATGATATTTATGTGAACTCAAAAAAGTCGGCTAGTCGTTCAAGACAGCACCTTATAATGCTATTTAAACATTTTAGTAATCTTTAATTCTGACAAGTTTCAAACCTATTTTGATTTTGATTTGTCAACGATGATTATGTACCCCCCCCCCCCCCACCCCTGGAATGCTCTTAATGTGGGTGTGAAGGTAAAAGAATCTTCGCTTTTTAATAAAATTACTTAAAAAATAACTGAATTATCGCAGTCAAGAATTATTAAAACCATTACTAAGAATAAAATTAAAGGGTGGTATATATTCCCCCCTCTCTCTAAATACACCACAGACTTTTCCATGGGTTGACGTCTTCCCTTCTATACAAATCAAGCCCAAGCCCAAGCCCAAGCCAAGTCAAGTCAAGTCAAGTCAAGTCAAAACAAATCAAGTCAAGTCAAGTCAAGTCAAATCCGACTTTAAAGGACATACTCCTACGTCGTACAATGCAATAAAGGCAACTTCAAAGGGACTGTTAAGGAAAAATGAAAGCGGGTATATAATGAAACCTGAGTATTTTAGGAGTTGATCGAGACCTTTAAGAGTTTTATCTGATGTTCCTTTCTCGCGAAATTGATATAAAACTGTGTCAAAATCATACCAGAACTTATGTATATTAATCTAAGTTTTAAACAGATCATATTCAGTAAATACGCAACCAATCTGAAAATGACGATATCCCAGAGGAGCCTGAAAAACTAGGGTTTGCTCATATTATTATTTGAATTTAATAACTTTCCTTTTTTATTAGAGTAAATACGTCCATATCAAGTGACCAGAACTCCCACAAATGACAATGCAGTATCATTTTCTCGTCTCCGTCTGTATTACATAGAAAAACTCTTATAGGTCTCAATCAACTCCTGAAGTTCTTAGGTTTTAGCCCATACCCCCTTTCATTTTTACTTTAATACAGTCCCTTTAAACTTTCCACTTGATAATCTGTATTGTAGCACAGGCAAAAGGAGAGATTTAATTACATTGAATGGACTTAAGTCCCAAAAAGTAATTTTCAGATTAAAATTCAAAATTACTTTTTTGAGTAGTTATTGAGAGTAGCAAAAGTTTTGATCACTAGTTTGCTACCAAATAAAATTGCTTCAACTTCATCTGTGGTATAAAGTAATACTAGACAAGCTACGAGGTCGCAACGTCGTACAAGTGTTAAAACATATTCCTGCAGAGGATTTGGTCATTAATGTTCTTAAAAACCAGCCAACATGACGACACTCAAGAAACTCTCTAAAAAAATGAAAATTACACTCATGAGATTAAAAGGAAATGGGTCTGTGAACACTTCTCAATTACTGTTTATAATGTTAATTATACTATTAAAAACCGAATATAACAGACGTCATTATTCTACAATTATATTCGTCTTACTGTTTCGGTGCATTTTATAAGGATAAACAAAAATAAGTATAAAATGGTATTTATCATATTGTCATATTGCTGATTGCAAAACAATAAGCACGGGTTAGAAATTCTTGTTTAAATTACAATAATAAAGTATCTTTTTTAAAATGATTAGGTATACCGGAAAGCTTATACATCCTTTAAGTAAACAATCATAGGTTCATTTCAAAATCATACTTGGTAATTGGTATGGCGGACTTCGTTTAACAAGTATATATCACAGTATTTAGAACCTTCCTTATTTCCCAAAACTAGCAATCTCCAGTAATCATATTATTTTAGGTTAGATCGGTGATAGATAAACCAAGGGAGGTTTATATATTGAACATATTTTTTTAAAAAAGATTTCCCTATTTCAAAACTATATTCTGTACAAGTTTGTTTTCATTTAACTAGACATACAGTCAAAATTAGGTTAAGTGAAGGAAAGCAAATAACAGGAATATTAAACCATTTTGAACTTTTCAAACTTATAGATTTTAGTGGAACAAACCAAACGCCTTAACTAGTTAACCATTACTCTCCTCAGCAAAATCAATGATTATTAAATAAGAATGACCCGAAATTTTGATCTCTGTGTTCCAACTTCCATTCTCCAACCATGGATTCCATTTTTAATCAAGTAGTCTGAAAATGCATTTATCAAGATTTATTTCAATAGTTTCTTTATTTACGAACAAAAGGCAAAAAATCTAGAAGGAATCCTGGGGGAGGGGCGTTATATTTTTTGTTGTCAAATATGTTACTGAAGTTTAAAAGCCAGAACATCAAATTTAAACGTGAAAAATGAACATTCATAACATATTTTTAATTTTTTAACTTAATTTTCTAAATCTTATTTTAATTTAGCTCGGCGGTGGTTGATGTTTAGATGTTGATGACTCTGGAAAGTTTCTGAACTCTGTTGAGAAGAATATCTCCTTGTTTGATACAGGTTTGATACTGAGCATTCTTACTGTCTGGACGATTAGTGATCACTATACCTCCAACCTGAACAATATCCAGGTTTACTTTTAGATAGTAGTGTGCATTAGGTTGGTTCGTTTTTGGCATACATTTAGCATAATAAACAAATATTTTCAAAGTTTTGAATTCTAAATATACTCGATTTTTGACCCTGATGACCGGAAAATAAATGCAAAAAACGAACCAAAAACTATCTACAAACAAACTTTTTTGCATTACTAAAATCTTATTAAAGAAATTTTATTAATTCATTAATCAATTTTTTTAATAAATTAATTACCTTGTCAATCTTTGCGTGAAGCCGACCGCTTGCAATAAACCTAAATAAAATTAAAGAGAATTTTAACATATTTCAATGGACTGTTTAGATTCACAACGGATCAAGAATACTTTAGATATCCGTCATCTTAAATTTGAAAATTGATAGTTTTCAATTTTGGATTCTAAATAGAGGGACTCATTTCTACTTCAGGAAACAAGGAAGGATATTGTCATAATGAATAACTTTACAAGTTCCAAAAAGCGTCAACAGATTTAAAGAATAGCGTTGTGAGTCTTGTATGCCTCTCTTAACAACGATAAATAAATGAAGAAATAAAAACGATAGTTTCCTAAGTTTTCTACAAGTTTTTTTCGAATGCAGTGTGTTTATTAGTTTCTACGCAGTACAGGACTATACGGGTTGAAATACAAGATTAGAAAGCAGAGAAATTTTGCATAAATTTTTAATGAAGTTTGAATAAGAATAATTAAAAAACTGGTAAGATTTAGAATCCAACGAAATATTTCAGATCGATGGACATCGATTAAAGGTTTTTTTTTGTACAGAAATCAAAAAAGTTTTGACATTTTGACTAGGTTGAAAATTGATATCGACAAAATATAACTTATTTTGGTTTCACATCTATACTTGTAAAGGTAAAAATAGCAGTTTGCAAAAAGGATTAAACATATTGTTAAATGAATTTCTCGAATCTTTGTTATTATTTTGATCAAATTTCTATTAAATATATTCGCTTTGGTTTAAAAAGTATTCTGAATAAATTTGCATGTCCAAAATTGAAACCATAGCCCTAGTTATTATGATTAATTTCAATAAACGAATACGAACATTTTTAATTTCAAGTTTCAGTTAGTCCTTTTTCTTTTATGGTATCCCCCTTCGGTTGGTTGATACATTTTTCCCTACAGAGCAAGAGGGATACCCCCCCCTGGAATTAAACTAAATCTATCTATCTACCTGCAGAGCAAGAGGGATACCCCCCCACTGGAATTAAACTAAATCTATCTATCTATCTACCTACAGAGCAAGAGGGATACCCCCCCTGGAATTAAACTAAATCTATCTATCTATCTATCTACCTACAGAGCAAGAGGGATACCCCCCTGGAATTAAACTAAATCTATCTATCTATCCATCTATCTACCTACAGAGCAAGAGGGATACCCCCCCCTGGAATTAAACTAAATCTATCTATCTATCTAACTACCTACAGAGCAAGAGGGATACCCCCCCCCTGGAATTAAACTAAATCTATCTATCTATCTACCTGCAGAGTTCAGTATCCATATAGTCTTCAGTTACACCGAAGGCATCAGCCATATACTTGAGGGTCAAGCTTCTGTAGGATTCCAACAACTAGAAGAATAAACTATGATAAAATTAAATGATAATATGTAGGATCCCTCCCTCCTTTTTCACAAATTTTGAAGATCCGAATAAAAGTAAGAATTGGACATCAAAAGGCAAGAAATACGTATCTTTAAGAGGGGATGATTTTAAAAGAAAATATACCGAGATAATAATTACAGGGTTACCCAGAAGGGATGAGACTTTATCATTTAATGACGACGAAAATCTTTCTAAAAATACATTTGCATTTTTAATACCCAACCCCTTAGTCATCAAAAACCTTCCCCAATCTCCAAACCCCTCAAGATGAGGAATATAATTGTATCAAACTAGTCTTTCATAGTGAATAGATCGCAAAACTCAAAATAAAACGGATTTTTCTGTTAGCATAAATGAATTTCTAAAATTAAAATTTTTTTTTCCAGACTGAATTTTTTAATTTTAACAAACCATTAACCTTCCCTCGGGCCATTTCAGTTGCCACAACAGATAGTCAAAATTACCTGTGCGTACGCTTTAATCTTCATCTCTCTAACGTAGAATGCGTAATGAGGAGCAGTATACCTATCCTCCTTCAACACCTGCTCAACCTTACCCAGGCACTATAATATCATTAGGTAAAGGGACTGGACCCACAAGTTGAAGTGATATTACAATAAAAAAAAATCAACCATAATTTTAATGGAAGAGTTTCATGTCTTATTGACAACGGTACCATTTAAACTAATAGTATTCCTTCGTCTAGTTCATAAATCACGTTGAACCTAGTAACCGAAACTGAAAATGATCAATTTTCAGCGAGAAAAACAATCATGTCTTTTGTTGAAAAAGGCACTGTTGTGAATCAGACATGCTACTCAATAAAAACTCTTTTTGAGTCCCATTTGATTACCAAGTTCAGGGGGCGGGGTTAGAACAATTGAAGCCTTATGCTTACCTGAAAAAACTCAGCATACTGGCAGTTGTACAAGCTGAACAGGTATTTGTTAACCTAAACATATAATTTAATAATATTTAACAACATATTAATCCCTTATCATAAGAAAAGGAACGTAATTCTTGTTACAAACTAAAATTTTCTAATCCCCCTGTCTTCGCAACCTGATGGTATAAATCTAATCCCTTTATCTTCGCAACCTGATGGTATAATTATTATCCCTTTATCTTTGCAACCTGATGGTATACATCTAATCCCTTTATCTTCGCAACCTGATGGTATAAATCTAATCCCTTTATCTTTGCAACCTGATGGTATAATTATTATCCCTTTATCTTTGCAACCAGATGGTATAAATCTAATCCCTTTATCTTTGCAACCTGATGGTATACATCTAATCCCTTTATCTTCGCAACCTGATGGTATAAATCTAATCCCTTTATCTTCGCAACCTGATGGTATAAATCTAATCCAGATGGGGTTAACCGTCCATATTTCAAACTTTAAGACTATTTGAACTGACAGAACTCGTAGATATAAATATCAGAGGTCTAGAAATGAAATTTCAAGAACTTTTTAATATACACCCCTGAAAAAAGTTTGTAAGGAAATATATACACCTGTCATATACTTAATCTTTTTTCTTTTTTGGATTCAATTAAATTAACTTATTGGCTCCATGGCAAGTATGATTAATAAAGATTAAAAAGTCAGGATAAATTGATATCAATAAAAATCAATCTGTTTTCTGTTTTCATTTACTGAGAATACAAATTATCAAACCAAATCAGATCATTCTTTTAGGGAGATATACAGTATACAGGGTTACCCCTAAAGGATGAGATTTCAAAGACGATATGTACGGAATTTGTTCTTACATTCCCCTACAGTTGTACACACTTGTTTCTGTCTCTGCCAAATGATTAAATATGCCATGTAATCGATGGCTTACATGGAGTTGCACGGTTTTCAAAGATTTAAGGATAGAAAGCTCAAATCCTTAGTTGTGATTGGGTTTCACAAGGAAGGCCGGAACTTAACTAATCTTAATTTCAAATCTCTTAATATTTGTAAAATATTAATATAAAAATATAAGATGGAATTTAACTCTAAGCTTGCGATAAAATATGCCATATGCGCCAACTTGAACTAGTTTATAGTTGTTATTAGAGAAAATTCTTGAAGGAAAATAGTATAAAAGCTTCGAACCTAATTATTAATTTCTAATACTTAATTTCTTCATGAAGTAAGCAGAAAATATGTGGTTAGTTAAAATAATTGACGTTATAATCAAGAAAGCGAGAAGAAGGGGGAGGGGGGCGGGGACTCCCCACTCCACAGCCTTTATAGGATTAATAAATTCCTACCTCTGGTATTTGGTGAAGAACCTCCAGTATCTCACTACCCTTGATCACATCTTTATGAAGATCTTTCCTAAACATTAGTTTATTACTTTCAGTATAAAAATTAAATTCTACTAACCTATCTATAGCTAGTATACTGATGTATACTGTATACTAACCTATCTAGAGCTAGTATACTGATGTACACTGTATACTAACCTATCTAGAGCTAGTATACTGATGTACACTGTATACTAACCTATCTAGAGCTAGTATACTGATGTATACTGTATACTAACCTATCTATAGCTAGTATACTGATGTACACTGTATACTAACCTATCTAGAGCTAGTATACTGATGTGTACTTTGTACTAACCTATCTAGAGCTAGTATACTGATGTATACTGTATACTAACCTATCTAGAGCTAGTATACTGATGTATACTGTGTACTAACCTATCTAGTGCTAGTATACTGATGTATACTGTACTAACCTATCTAGAGCTAGTATACTGATGTATACTGCATACTAACCTATCTAGAGCTATTATACTGAGGTATACTGTATAATAACCTATCTAGAGCTAGTATACTGATGTATACTGTATACTAACCTATCTAGAGCTAGTAAACTGATGTGTACTATGTAATAACCTATCTAGAGCTAGTATACTGATGTATACTGCATACTAACCTATCTAGAGCTATTATTCTGAGGTATACTGTACACTAACCTATCTAGAGCTAGTATACTGATGTATACTGTGTACTAACCTTTCTAGTGCTAGTATACTGATGTATACTGTATACTAACCTATCTAGAGCTAGTATACTAATGTATACTGTGTACAAACCTATCAGCTATCTAGAGCTAGTAAACTGATGTATACTGTATACTAACCTATCTAGAGCTAGTATACTAATGTATACTGTGTACTGTACGAAAGTAACGTAATCCATGAGTTCGTATGATGTGAATGTTGAGATAGCGTCTAGGAACAGTGAAGCTGATTTCTTGAAGTCTCTTACAGACATTGCGTACAGTCCCTCATAAACCTGAAAATCATTATTATTTTTCTTATTATTATTATTATCATTATGACAATTATTGGAATCAAGTGAAATCCATTTCAATTTATAAAAATGTTAGAAATGAAATGAATAAAACTGTGCAGTGTGCAGTGCTTAGGATCCATTGCATTTAATGCGGATCCGGATCCTGGGTCCGCCCTGAAATTAATGAATCCGGATCCGTACTCAGGTCATGCACGTTTACGTAAGGTTTACTATTTTTTTTAACATGAGAAAATTTTAATTTTTTTCTTTCCGCTTTTTTTTATGACAACCATTTCAACAGTTGTAATTTTGGTTTTGAGAGCAAAAAGTTTCCGTGGATACGCAGATTTTTCCGGATCCGGCAAGCAAAAATGTTGCACTGTAAATGTGAAAATATAAGTTAAGAATATCGAATAATAATATTTCCATGTAATGTAAGAGACCTAAATTTTTTGATGTAAAATATACATGTTGTATGAGATGAGGTTAGTAAAATAATTATTTGTTATTATTTTTCCCCTTGGGTTAAATATATTATTCACAACTTCATTTTTAATATTATGATATTTTTAGTTGAAATTTTGTTTTCGGAGTATTAGACAATATTGTACATGTTTTACAGTTTTACAATTTAAATATTAGGGGATCTCTAAAAAAAGGCTTACTTGTTTGTTGCACCTCAAATGACCCCCCACAAATTGTCAACTGGATGTAGAAAAATGGTTACTACGTAACTACTAACATTTGAATTACAATTGTTTTGGAAATCCACCAATGAAAACAACTCCGAAATCTCAAATTGTCACTGTTCCCTTATTAACGAATAAAAAATGTTAGCAGGAAAATGGAATAATAATTCCAAAAAGAGACTTAACACTAACAGATGAAATAATAATTCCAAAAAGAGACTTAACAGTTTAGTAGGGTGTGAGTTGTCTGTAGTCAACCAGGTGTACCTAGTTACACACCCATGTTTATTGTTTACCTTGAGCCTGTTCCTTCTGTCCCAATCCCCTCCTTCATCTAGCATCTCCTTAGCCTTCTCAATATTCGCCTTGATGATCTCATGATCAGTAAAGAACAGACCAATCCTAGAANTGTGTTCAATGTATTCTTGTTCTATTTACCTGCAGCATCCTTGATGGTCTCCTCCATTGTGTTTAATGTATTCTTGTTCTATTTACCTGCAGCATCCTTGATGGTCTCCTCCATCTTGTTCAATGTATTCTTGTTCTCCTCCTTCATCTTTTCCATCAACTTCTGATCCACAGTCCAGTTCAACTCCTACAACAAGGAATTAATTACTCAGCTCAAATACTTACTTTTGCAACTTGAGACAATTTTAATCAATACCAAGAAGTACCGAAGGGCATCGTTTTGAGGCTCATTTTTAAACATTTAAAGTTTTTAGGCTTTTTAAAAGGCATCAAGAATCTAAAATGCAAATTCTATTTAAAATTGCATTCTTGACAAGAATGCTTTTATTACAGAAAGCAAAATCTTTAATCTGATCAAAGATATTGACCATAACGATTTTTATAAACGGAAAACGATTTTCTAATCGGGTTGAAACAATAAAAATCGTTCTAAATAATATCTTAAATGAGAGAATTTTTTGCTGTGTGCAATTTTGAAATAGGATTTGTATCTCAGATTCTTATGAAGCTTCGAAAAGCCTAATAACTTTAATGTTTAAAAATGGGGCTCAAAACAATCTCCGTCAGTACCAAGAAGTAGCAGATCTACCGTAGACTAAGTTAAACCATTTCTTTTGGGCACCGGTTCAAGTTATTGAAAAGTAGTTAAACTTGGTCAAAGCTGTTCAACTACTTCTGATATTAATTAAATTTGGCCCCTAATTATAAACTTTCACTTGTTGATCTAGCAGAATTCAAATTTTGAGACATCAAAGTCTTCGACATCAGGATCAAGAGATATTGGGATTAGAAAATTGGAGTCTAAACCCAGTACTCGATTACTTTAATCCACTAATTCAATGGTATTTTCTGTTACAAGGACCTACCCTAATTCGTACTTAAAACTTAATCTTGATACCTAATACGTTTAAAGGTTTCTCTTGGAGCGAAAATAAGATTTTTAAGATTTAATAATTTATGAGGGAAAGTTCATGTTTCTTTCCCCATCTTTTTAAAGAGAAGCAGGCCCGTTAATAAACGGTACCATTCATCTGATCAACAATGTGGAAGAAATCGTTGTTTTCCTAGCTGCTTGAATTTTTTATTCGAAAAGTTTCTCCATTTTTTCTAAACCAAGAAATAGCGCAAGTCAATTTTATGAAAATGATCAGTTTCCAAACACAAAACATAGATATCTATTCAATGCATACTTGATCAGACTAAATTCAATTTAATCAAATTCAATAAGCCAGCTGATTGTCTATGTCCAACAACTAAGGGTTTAAGCGTCTAGCTGTGATATTTTAGTGTTCTCTTTCATAAAGCTCTACTAGGGGTTGTTTTTGTTTACGGTAAACAACATTGCTCTCATATTAAATACTTCAAATTGTTTTTGTCACATAAAATCGTGTCACTAGAGACAGGGGCAAACTAAAGAGATGGAGGGATAAGATGGAAAAATTGAGGGAAACCCCACTAAAGGGGAGGGGGAGGGGGGAAAATTTTGTGAATCAGACATGCAACTCTATAAATGCCATGCCTACAGTACCTTTAATATCTATATTTCCAATACAATTCTGGAGGTTTAATTAATATTTTTTTTTATAAAACAAAGAAACTTTTTTCAAATAAAATTACCATAAGATGCAAAACTTCTAATAAAAATGGATACAAAAGTTCTTGACAATATCGCCAAATAAAATTTGTTCAAGTCTAAAATTCAGTGTTTGCAATAAAGTCAAACAAAATAAAAAATTAGGGTGCACTGAAAATTGAATGATATATATAATAAAATCCAATATCTGAAAAAATTAAACTTTAAGGACTAGTAATTGTAATTTCAAGTGACCTTCATTTAAAAGGAGAACAATACCCGATTTAAAATGGTCTGATACCTTTAAACCTTCATCTAAACTGAAGATATTGTCGTTTGTACTGATTTAACAGTGTTAAATACCCTTCATGTCTTTAGTTTATCAAATTGTCAACAACAAATTATCTTAAATAAAGTTTGACGACTTTCTGGTAGTAAGAAATCCTGACCCTTTAGAAGATTTCGCATTTTTCGCAAAATTTTGTTTTTGGCTGCATTTTGCGCATCTCGTTCGCTCGCGAAAATTGCGAATTTTTTCGCTTCAATCTGTTTCGCAAAAAAGGGCGAAATGTTCGCGAAATAGAAATTGCGAAAATTTCGCTAAAAAATGCGAAAATCTTGTGAAAAAAATAATGCGAAAATTTCGTGATAAAAATAATGCGAAAATTTCGCGAAAAAGTAATGTGAAAATTTCGCGAAAAAATGCGAAAATTTCTTGAAAATATAATGCAAAAAATGAACATATGTATTGTGGACGGACAGACAGAAACTTAAAAAGGTAGCTAGTGAAATCAAATTCTCTTCATCAAACATTTATTAATCAAATTAGTTTAAAATAGTTTTAAAAACAAATTGAAATTACCTTAGCATAGAGTTGGTATAATGGAGCCATGTTAAACTCTTTAATATCTGACATTATCTTCTCCTTGATACTTTCATCATTCTAAACCAAATATTACTATAATTATTGCATCATGCTTATTTTTTATTATGATGATTGCATCATTCATAACAATCTATTATACAATTGTAATTGTATCACTCTAACCAAAATATTTTTCAATAATTGCATTATAGGAAAAAATGCTATAATTATTGCATCATTCTAACCAAAATATTATTTAATAATTGCATCATTCTAAATCTTTAAGTCGAATCATTTAGTTTATGAAACAACTTGTTTTGATTGAGTGAAAAATATTTATTTGACGAAATCAAAGTTTTGAGAGAATGAAAAAGTTCAAAGATACCCCCCCCCCATATCACGCCCATTTCAAGAAATGCAAATTTGTGTCTCAAATGTCCACCAAGATCTATTTAAAGCACAAAAAAGTTATATATTATAGGAACTACAAAAGATTTTGGTGGCAGATTCTATGGACTCCAATACAATTTGTGGCAGATTTAAGTGTCTGACAAGTGGAATATTATATAAGGTGGAACAATTTTCTCCCAATATTAATCCTAGATGAACCCCCTGATCTAGGGTTGGGGTTTGTATGGTTTAAAGTCCAACCTGAAATCTTTCAACAGACTGGAGCTGAAACTTCCTCTGTGCAATCCTAAGATCAGGGATCTTAGCCAGACCTTCTTCTTCCATATTTTCAATAGGCATCTTGGGACTTGGGAGTTTATCTGAAACAGGAGGACTCGAGATAAAAAAGGACAAGGAATCTAGCATATAATTAATTAATCACAGAAAACGATATTCAGAAGGGAATACATTAAGCTTTAATTTGACGGATTTCTTGGAGAAGGGTTTGCGAATTTCTTGGGTAAGGATTGGCAGATTTCTTGTTTGAGGGTTATCATGATTAGGACATATCTTCATCTTCAGAATCCGAATCTTCCTCCATAGCAGACTTGGCAAACTTCTCAGCTTCAACCAATACCTGGAAAAAATCATATTGTTTTACTAGAGAAATATAAATTAACATAAAATTTTTTTGTAGACAATTTTAAATATAATATTTAAATTCCAAACCATACTAATCTCTGGGGAACACAAATAAATGATAACAATTCGATAAATCAAATAAAATGATTACCGAATCTGGAACTTTCATGTGGATCCCGTTAGTGAACTCCCCGACCCAGCTGAGCTCAAGCTCGAACATCTTGTCCTTGACCTCGTCGTGGACCATGTAGATGATCCTAGCGGCCTCCTATAAAAAAAAATTTTAAATGTAATGTGACATCTAATCTATTTAAAACAAATTGATATCTAATTTCTTTCACCCTAGCAAATCAAAATATTAAAAAAAATATATTTTCAATTTTCATGTCCTAATCTCTAATTTATTACCTTGATTAGATCAGCACAGGATAAGTCGGCCATCTTAAGCTTTTCAAGTTCAGTTTTAGCATTAGACTTAGCTTTTCCTACAAATAATATAATTTAAGGGTGTATCAAATAATTTCATAAAAGCAAAACATCCCCCCCCCCCATAGAAGAAAAAATTCATAATGAAGTTAACTGCGGAGTTTGATCATTTATCTTGTTTTACCTGCGGCAGCTCCCCAGTATCCATATCCAACACCACTAGGTCCCATACTGTACAACTGTGCACCAGCCTTAGAATATTAACACTTTAAAGGGACTGTAAGCGTATTTTTAAGTGACCCTGCATGCAAAGATGGCAATGCTGGATTCCAAACGGTATCTTTACTCAATGAAATATCAATATTACCAATTTCGTAATTTCGTATTTACAATTATGGTTTTCTACACACTAGTGAATTAGTAATTATGTTCTTTAAAGAACTGACATCTCTTTGTAAAAATGGCTAGGGCTCTATTGCAAATGACAAAATCTAGTTGTTTTTATAATTGAAGTAAGAGAGAATAATCAAATTGTCAAAAAAAACTGTCTGTACAGTGTACAATGTACATTTTACGTGTGTTATTGTTATTATTAACAGATGCCCTATCACCAGTCCCCACACTCCAATCCAAAAATGAATTTACAAAGTCAGGACTGAAATACAGGATTTACAATCTATCATGAAATAGGGATCCAAGCTCCTCGCCACCAGTGTATCCATGACATAACAGTCTGCTTGTGTATTGTATAAAACTTAAAAATTTTAAGTAGAGAGTGTAGCAGTCTCCTCTAGTAATATATTGAATGGAGAAATGTGCTCAACTCCTTCTATCCTCTGATATATAGAATTTAGAATTTTATCTAAATTTAAACAGAGTATACAACAATCCATCAAATCAAAAGTTCTGATCAATGAAAATAAAAACTACCTGTTTGTCCCAGGATCCCAGCATTATGGTTGCCCCAAAAGGTCGGATAGATGAATACAGTGTGTACGCGTGCATGTACGTACTCACCCTGCTCGTGTACACATACTTAATGTATTGCATACATATTTTTATCATTAAAACAAAAACCACTAGAACATCTTACATCATGGTTTTCAGATCAACAGTTTAGGCTAATTCCACCAAAATTAAATGTAACACCTTATTAACATTGGCAGTAAAAATATTCATGGAGCAAAAGGGTTTGAAGCAAAGACAATATTAAAAAATATAAAATGAAAGATTCAATCGTTGAATTAGAATCATAGAATACAGATAAATAATTGAAGAGATGTATGATTGCAAATGGTTTACAATTTTTAACAAAAATTTCATTACAAATAATTATCGAAATGGCCTTAAAACACAAATACTTGAAGCACCATTGTTGTGTACAATCCTTTGGTTGAGGTAGGGCAAAGGAATAGGAGATCCATAATCATTCCTGGATAAACCATTAATTAGTCAGCTAATATGTACAATTGGAAAACTTAAGAAAATAGGAATACTTGCTACTTAACGAAAATACTCTACTTGCACCATTATTTATTTCTATATAAACAAGACATTCGTATATATATATATATGTTGCGGATAGCCGGCCAAACGGCTGGACCGATTGGGCTGAAATTTTTTGTGGAAACTCACGGGAGTCCAGGGGGTGTTACAGGTTAAAAAAATTCGGAATTTATTTTTAAACTTTTTTTTCAACATTTTTATTCTTTTATTTTTCTTCAAAATTTTTCCACGGGCAACGCCGGGCCCTTGAGCTAGTTACATATAAAACAAGACATTCGTATATATACGAATATATATACGGCTGGACCGATTGGGCCGAAACGACACTCATGGGTGGCCAGGGGGGGGGTTGATGGGGTAAAAAATGCAATTTTTTTTCCGCGGGCAACGCCGGTCCCTTCAGCTAGTATTACATATATTTGGCTTGTCACTGTGTTAGTTTGGATGTCTCCAATGAACGACCAAATGGCTGAACCGTTTAGGCTTAAAATTGTGCAACTCAAATAACCTTAAGGTAAGGTTTATACCCGGTCGAAATTATAAAAGGTTGTCTAAAAAAATAGTCTATTCTCTAAAATCCGTCACTGATAACTAAAAAACTGCAGAGTTTTGAGTCGTAAAATGATTAAAGAGACAAATGGCAGCTTTAAAATCAATATTTAAAAGCTAAAATCGTTAGTAGAAAAAAGGTCTCGAAGCGTTTTTTAAGCCTGTTAAGTGTTAAGCAATCTTTTAAAAAATAACTAGTTATCTTCTATGTTAGCTATCTAACCTGTATGTAGAAGCTTCATCACTAGCTATCTCAGCGAGCTGCCGAGCATCTGCAATGAGTCCAGCTGCTGCCATACCGACGTGTGTGTCAATGTTAAATATTCTCCTTAAATAAATAATTATTAATTAACCATCATTTCGTAGAAATCAAGAAACATCAGAAACAAATGCCAGAAATTATTTTCAAAGACTAATTAATATAAAAATAAAATATTCTTAACCATTTATTTATACTTCCGAAGTATTACTTCTCCTTCCCCCTCATTTCATGTTCTTATTTAAATTTCTGAGGTTTTAACTACAGCAAGGGGGGAGGGGGGGTTAAAATTTAAAACCCACCTGTTTGCTCCTTTCTCATAGAGTTTGCTGGTCACAATCTTCTCCACAGCAAACACTACTCCATCCTTGCCTCTGATACCTTCAGGTCAACACAGGGTCATTCAGGTAATCAGAAACCCAGGGGGTATTTTGTCGATAATTATTTTGGCTTATTATATGTAAGTGGCTTCGCGCCTATCTTTCTAGTAATAATCTAACTTTATTCTAGCTGAACGTACATTTCCAAATAATAGTGTCATTACAATTTTTTGGCGGATTTTCCTGGTTTTATTGAGGATTTGCAGTAATTATATTGAGGGAAAAGAAATGTAAATAAAATAGTACCAAAAGTGATCAATTAATACAATTAAAAGTTCATTCAGGAAAAACTGTGGGGAAGGGGAGGAGAGGTGGGGGGAGAATGATTTGTCCCATTCCTATTGCAGTTCCACTATTCTCCACAGCCTTTTCAGCATACTCAATCTTAACAATCACCATTTAAAGTCTAACAATCTAAACCGGATACTTTTATACAGACAAAACTGAACATATTCGGCTTAAAATAAGTTTAACTTATTTCTTTAAATTCATTGGTATAAGCCTAGAACCCATGACCAAAAATTCAATCAAGTCACACTCTAAGGGTGCCCACTACAGTATCCAATTTAAGTCTGAAAAGAGAACTTAAAGCAAAAAAAAAGAGGTTCCAACAGCATGTATATTTATAACATAAATGCTAATTTAAAATGTTCAAATAATATATATCTTTAATGGAACAAAGAGTTTAGAAAGAATAACTATAACGAATATAAATAACAAAAACGAAAAAAATCTCTAAATTGAAAAAAAAATATCTATATTGAAAAAAAAATAGGTTCAATAATACTGAGTAGAATATGATGGATGGTAATTGAATTTGGATGTATTTACTGTGTACTAGCGGGGGTTGTGTGTGTATTTGTTTGAGGGACAAATATGTCAATATTTCACAGGAAATTGAAAACTTTTAAGGCTAGCGATCATAAATTAATTGTTTATGCTAGGGCCAGGGTGTAATTTTTCAGAAGAATTCCACCCCAGGGGGCGGGGGTTATAATTTTATTTGAGAAATATACACCCCTGTAATAGGATATGAAAAAGCACCTGAAAAACTCTTCCATCAGGAGAGAACTGTGAAGCGTAGAGATCGTATCCTGTTCCAATACTTGACATCTTTTCTGTAATTCAATTTATTTGTCATTTAACTGTTTTGTATACTGGGCATTGGTCATTAAGACGACAAGATTAAAATAATCACAATTATTGTAATTTTGCAGAATTTTACGATAGAAAATATTGAGAAAAGGTAAAAAAGATGGGAAGGAGTTCTTCCTTAATCCTTCTCCCAAGCCGCATCTAGTTTACCGAGCCACATTCTCATAGTTTTTGATCCAGAAAATTGCAAACAATGTTTCTCAGATTATTACATTCCTGTTGGATGATCAAATAAGTTTAAATTTTCATACAAATCAACATTTGTCTCAGGTACGTTATTTCACCTCTTTCAACAGGAATTTGTCCAGGGGGTTGGAAGGGGGGGGCTAACCAGAGCTTATCCCCCGTTTTCAGTTTTCAAAAGGAATGAAGGAGGGGGATGCCCCCCACCCCTCTTTATATTTTTCAGGATTTATGTCCAAATTAATATTGAACATATTGTTTCCAAATAATATGAATATTTAGAAGTCTTCGTATTAAGATTCATCTATATTCTGAATAAATTATCGGGCTGGAGAAATACTCAGAGGCCTAAAATAAAGTAAAATATAATATCTGCAAAGTTTGATACAGGAAAATATTTTCTACGTCAAATGACCGAAATTGTAAATATCAGTGAAATTCCATGCAAGGATGGCAATGTCCGATTTACAACCGTACCATTGAAACCTTAATCTTATCAATAATGTGGAAGATAACGTCGTTTTCCTGACTCAGAAAGTGTTTAATTCTGACGATTTCTTCAATGTTTCTTATAAGTAAAAATTTTACAAGTCACATTCTCAGAGTAACCCGTAAAATAAGCAGTTAAAAAAAACATTGTTTTCTAATTTAAACTCGGAGCAGACAAAGCATTTAATTAGAACAGTTGTGAATTCGGGCGTTGTCTCTTTCCATGAAGGGTCACCTGAATTTACGCTTTCAGTCCGATAACCCTATTTGGACTAACGTCTGGTTTACCCAAAATATTTCCTTATTGTAATACAAATCTATAACTTATGATATATGTTTTGAAAGCCCGTGGGCTCCACTTAAATAATCTACAATAAAAACAAGCAAATTTGACAAATTTAAATATTTATTGCAAAATAAAGTTTTTTTCGCGAAAAAATCGTGGGAAAACAAAAGTGCGCAAACCATGATAAATTATTCATTTTTAAAAAGCCCATGACTCAGCGAATTTAAATATGCAAAAATAGTTGCAAAACTTTCAAGACCTATGTGTATTAAAAAAAACTAAAATTGTGCTATTTTCCTCTTAAGGCGTCTGTGCAAAAATATATGCAAAATATCTTTGCAGAAATTGTGTGATCTGCTTCCTTGTGTTGAAGGCTTTATAAAGACCTATAAAATGTTGAAATCCAATGACTGGAAGCAGGTCTAAATTTGGATTTAGTCTGGTAACGGTAAAATAAGGCTTACAGGCAGTATGCCTGAAAACTCATGCAGTATGTTTAGAAGCCCATATTTTGGCCTAAAATGAGGGGCATGTACTAGTTAGAAAAGTAAAAAAACATTTGAATAGCCTCAGACCAATACTTTGAGTTCTGGCAAACAAACGATAGGAGGGGGAGGGGGGTTGTCACAATGATTCCCCCCCCCCACCCCTCAATCGGAATATAAACTTTTTTAATATGGTTTATCCTCTTTACCTTATTTTAAGTCCAAGAAGCCCCTGTCCTGACCAAATTTCAGGAGTCAGTCTTAATCTGTGCACTGCATCATCTAAACATTGATTTTTAATTCATTCATTCATTCATCCTTTCATTCACTTCCAATCATCCTTTCATCCATTCATTCATTCACTTCCAATCATCCTTTCATCCATTCATTTATTCAAACAACATTCTAAAAACAATTCTTGTTAACGTTAGTTTATACATTGTACAAATCAAAATACCAAATCAATAATAAAGTTTAGTGCATTTCAATTGCCAAGAGAAAGCCTATTATGAAGTAAAAATGGCTTGCCTCGTAACAATATAACTGTAAGAGGTTTGTTTTCACTGTGTTCTACCACCTGAAAATATATATATATATGAACGGGACTCTACGTGGCAACGTGCCTTTTCAGCAATTCTTCCTTTATTTTGAAATAATTTCGCAGATTAATACAAATTAAGATAGAATTAGATAATAAGATATTTTTAATGAAAAAATAAAGAAGGATGATTGATAACATAAAAAAGACTGGAAAAAATATTTTAAAATACAAAAAGAAAAGCACAAAAAAAGAAATGTCAATCTAAAACCTTTAAGTTTCAAAACTGATAAAATATTGAAGAAGAACAAAAAAGTTTAATAGAATAATAAAATATTCAGAGAACAATTGATTCAGGGATAAAAATTTGTTTGAAATTTTGATTGGAGGAAAGCCTTATATCGAACTTTATGGCTGTTTGCTAAAAAAACGTATAATTTTTTGAATTGAATGAGTTAAAAATTTAACGTATTTTCTGGCTGAGAGAGCGGGAGTAATTTTCATGAATACATAATATATTTATATTACAGTGTACAAGTTTAAACAAATGGAATAAATAAGTAGGCACTAAGATATAGATTCTATGGCGTAAAAATATTATCAAGCCGATGAAAAAAAATTTAAAATCAAAGGATGCGATGAAAAAACAAGAAATTTAACCGTTTCCCATTTTATGCAATTTTAGGGAGAAATTGGGTAATAACCTGCAGCTGCAATATCTAAGATATCTTAATGATAATCTTCATATTTTTATTGCAGATTAATTTTTTTCTTCGATATCCAGCATAATAACTATACCCTGAAGGAATAACTGAAAGAAGAGATAAAGCATTGAACCTTAAAATTAAAAGTGCCCTCTGTAAATATCGAGATCAAGCCATTGGGATTATGAATAATCCAGCTGAGAAAAGGTCCACGATTTTTCTTAACTCTCAAACTTAGCCAATAAAATGAGGAAAATCTGCGAAATATTATCTTGTTATGCACGGCAAAAAATGCGCGCACAATTGTTGCTGGAAACAGGTAAACATAATCTCTGAATTAAAGATAACTAACCTCTGAAATGGATTTGAGAGATGTAAAGTTGGAGGAGTTTACAGAACCAAATCTAAATTAAATTTTTATAATTTCATTTCAAAGCATCCATCAAAACTTCACTTTATTTGATTATAAGGATATTTAAACTAGTTAATTTAAATTCACAAATTTACTATGAATATATTCAGATGGACATTCTCAACATCAAATATATTTTTGAATTTTGCTAATTACATATCATACTTCTAAACATGAAAAAAACAGTTCGCAATAAAATTGATACTGATTTCGATTTCAAATGTATGTTTATTCAAAATAACTAAATAATAAAATAAATTAAACAAAAAAGTCAGGTTAAAAAATAGAAGATTAAAGTATCCAATAAAAGAAGAAATAAATACCCTGCGATCAAATCTCCAGGTTTAATACCAGCAGTTTCTGCAGGAGAACCGGCACAAACAACTTCATCAATATATTTTAATATTACGTTAATTTCTTTCAATATTTAACTTAAAAACTTAAGTGATATTTTTAATTTTCCTTTCAAGATGCCAATTTCACTTCTGAATAGAGGATTAATACAGAGGAGAAATAATCCCCCACATTTAATAAAAAAAATTAAAAATTTATGCAACTAAATGATAACAGTTCCAATTTTAAGGACGTTTAAGTTCTGTAGATATATTCCAATACACTAGGAACTATGAAGGGAAATGGTATCATTAGAAAAAGTGATTAAAAACAAAAATATCTGTTATCTTACAGTTTAAAGGATTTAAAAATATATCCCTAAAACTCGTGCAAATGGAATCGGCTTCTCACGACCTAAACTTAAATATTTATTTAAGAATTGAATATACTTAATACCAATTAAATTGGTGCCAGCAAATCAAATTGTTTTTCAATTTTCAATTAAAAAAATCTCCTTTTTAATAATTCTTATTAAAAAATAGTTTTCATTAAATAACAAAATAACTAAATAATTTCTCAAATAAGCTACAAAGATTCAAAGAAGAAGTTTTAATTAACTTGTATTAATTAAGTTCAAGGTGAAGTTTTAAACGTTGGACGCATCAACTATCTGGAAATTGGCATTAGTTAATTTTGTCTTGGTAATTATAATTTAAATAAATAGTACCCCCCCCCCGCAAATAAATTAAAAATGGATTTTAAATAACATTTCTGGGAATATGTCAAGATAAAATAAATTCTGAAAAGGAAAGAGCTTTTTAAAAATTTAACGAGCTGCAATTTACAAAATATTTTTTATTATTTTAAGGAAAAACATGTTTTTTAAATTTATTTAAAAAAGAGTATTGTTTATGTCCAATTTTTTAAAAGGTTTATTCCCATACATATAAGCAGTTTGTTTTTAATCTTCCTGACAGAAACAATCTCACGGAATAATAATGGTCTTAAAGTGAATATTTGAAAATTGTCTTTTTGCCATCTCATGATCTGAGTTCATTTCCCTTATTTCCATTTGACAGCCCAATTTTTTTAATTATCTTTTTTGTTTGTTTATTTTCTTATGGTTTTTAACAATTTTTTTTTATCGATATTGATGGTTATTATACCGTTAGAACTGACAAAGGTCAACCCAGACCGAAATATATTTTCAATAAATGTGGAACTGACATCTAATTTTTTACTCTACAGAGGTTTGGTCCATCACCATCGCCAAATTTTAAATGTTTATTACAATTTACCTTGAAAATTGGTTCAGGATTTGTAATTACTAAATTAAATAAATAAAAACCAGCATAAGTGTGTGTCTGACCCGACCCTACCCGAAAACAAAATGTGTTAAATTAAGTTTAATTCCCTGTGGAAAGCGAAGATAAATTATCCTCTAGTCCGATTCCTTCTCTCGCCTAGAAACAGTTTTAGAATATATTCAAACAAACGACCCCTTACCATAAAAACAACTTATGGTAAAGGTTGTTTTTCAGTTACACAAAGTCGACCATATGAGTCGATTAGTAACACAGTGCAGCGGCACTTAGCTTAAAGTCTATGTAGGATCAAATATAAATGAGAAATATAGGTTTTTTACTGTGAATATTTAAAAAAAAAGTTAACTGCGGTTTCCTGAAGGAAATCGTCTGAATTTTACATTTCTCAATAAAAAAGGGCGAACTCATCCAGATCAGAAAAGTTTCCATCGCATCCTTTACATAGATTAATACCTGAGCGTGTATGTTATGAAGTCCAGACTCTATTTTGTTCAAAACATCTTTCAGATCATTAGATTTAGTACGGATGGAATGGCGCGCATGCCGCACTTGATAAACATCAATATCTGCACGCGGAAATCCTAAATAATTCATTATTATAAGGTTGTAGTTTTTATTAAAGTGACCCTTGTCCGAATGAATGTAAGCCGCGTCTAAAATCCCCAAAAAACCGGGTTTAATTGAGCGCCGGCTTAAATCTTGAAAAAATTAATACAAATTTAAGTGGAACCGACAAAATTTTAGCCGCGGCTTAAATTCTTTATATTCGGTCTCCTCTTCATCTATAAAATGGGATAGACGGTATCCTATAAACCTTGTCTGATGAAGATGAACGAAGCTGACAATTGATTATTTTCAAACATGGTTTCTCTATAATTGTGACCTATGCTGCAGAAACATTGAAGGTTCAGTTCCAAAAAAACGACGATATCTTGCTTATTGTTATTCTAATGAAGGGTTAAAGGGTACCTATGAGAATCGGACATGCCACTCATTAAACGTAGGGTTATTAAACATTATTTCTAAATTCTCCCTTTAAACCATTGAACAGCTTTGAATGAACTTCATTCACCCCACATAATTTAAATAAAGTAAAACTTGAAAATATAGAAATAACCTAATTAATTTATAAAATAAATGATTCAATTCTTAGAAACGAAAGAAAACACTCAAAAACAAAACAAATATTATTGTTTGAGCAATGTAAGTAATGGAAAAATAAAATTTAAAATAAATTGTTGGCTGTTGACTTCTTTTCAAACAGGACCCTCAACAAACTAGTTTTTCACAATGAAGAAAACTATAAAATGGATATTGAGGAGGAGCTCGGGGGGTGGTGTAGTTAAACATTGAAGAATTTAAATATCTAATAAAATATTGATGTATTGATGCATGTTAATTATGCAAATCATAAGAATTGAAAGATCTTGTCAGAAAAAAAAGAAAAGGCCTTCCTAAATTAAAGTCAAAATAGAATGAGAGAACATTATTCACCTTCGGCATCCACCAGAGGGTCTTCCATCCCCACACCCTGGGTCTTTAATACATCATACAAAACTTTTAATTCTTCCTCAATACTTTCCTAAATCAAAGAATTGGTTTAGATCAAGCTTTTAAGTCTACCCGACATTAAGGCATTCGAAAAACCGTACTAAATTATAATGTTGGAGTAAATATTATTGGCATTAGCCACGCCTACTTCCCCCTTATTGAACAAATATTCATCAATAGCCGATTAAAATTTTTTATTTCTCAAATTGTCCAAATGTAAAATGAAATCTTAATAAATCTGGGAATCCATTAATTATGAAACAAAATTACCTTTATTTTGATAAATTCCAGGACCTCAGCTCTCGTGAAATTTGACATTTTTTTCTGTTAATACTTAAAAATTTAATCCATTTGATTTCTCACAAAACCAGGTTTAAAATTGAAGATTGGAAAATTAATCACATTAAAGATATTTGATGCATGGAGGAGAACTGATTGATAATCAATTTATGAATTAATGAATTAATTGATAATTAATTATTGTTTCTTCTCAGCAGCATACTGATAGTGGAGATCCTTACAGTCTTCTTCAGAGATAACAACAAATCCTAAACAATATGAATAACATTAAGAATAACAATTAGATTAACAATAAGTTAACAATAATAATAACAATAACAATAACAAAAAAACAATAACAATAACAATTTCATAACAATTTTAATAAAAACCAAAAAAAAAACAATAACAATAACAATATCATAAAAATTTTAATAAAAAAAACAATAACAATAACAAAACAATAACAACAATAACATCAAAATTAGTATTTACATTATCAGTATCAGTATCTGTATCAATAAGAATAAGAATAACAATAAATACAACAATAACAAAAACGAGATCAATAGCAATAACAAAAAAGTGCTTTAATGTAGATTTCCCTTTTGTTGGATTTAGAAATTAGTGAGATGTAGTTAAGCTAGGTATAGGTAGTGAAACTAAGATTAGGTTAGGCCAGGTATAGGAATAGGAAGACGAATTTTATATTTTATGATTTTAGGTAAACCATTGAGCATAAAACACAGGAATCACTTAAACAATTTGGTTTCCAAGCCAATGGTAAAACTATTTGTTTTATAACATCAAATACATTAGATTACTTAAATGTATCGACATATTCCAATGTTTTCTGGGTCCAACTGTACGATATTTTCTTTCACAAAAAGATTAAAGATTTTCAAGATAAATTTACAGTTAGATACAGTTTAAAAAGTCGTCTTTGTTTGAACTTTGAATAAGAAATGTATTTACAGATTTTGTAATTGTATTTTATGTGAACTGACCTGTAGGTTTCATATGATAGACCCTGACAATACCCCCGCTAGCACCATCCCTGTGTGTAGCGTGGTAGATGGATCGTCTACCCAGGTCATATGCTTCCTCGTCGGTCAGGTCATACCTGAATATAATCATAAATCACTAGATGAAGTGACCTGCGTTGCCCGTGGAATTTTTTAAACACTTTGAAAACAAATATTTCGAATTTGGAAAAAAAAGGTTTAATTTTTTAGCCTATGTTACCCCCAGGGTACTCATGGATTTCCTAAAAGTATGTCAGCGAATTTCCTAAAACCACGAAAGGAGTTAAAACATCATGCCCCACCTTCTTAGATGAATGATACAAGGTCATGTTTAGGTAAGGCCTGGTAAGCTATCATGGTTCATTGATGTATATATAATTTGTATAATATGTATGTATGTGTGTATATGTATAATATTAATAATTTTTCCAACCAAGATCCTTGTGTCCTTCAGCTAAAAACTTCCTCATTGGAATAATCTAGATAGAGATGCTCTGGCTAAACTAGGTTCTTCAGTTTAATAATCTAGATAGAGGTGCATTAGCTAAATTAGGTTCCTCAGTTAAATAATCTAGACAGAGGTGCACTAGTTAAATTAGGTTCCTCAGTTTAATAACCTAGATAGAGGTGCATTAGCTAAATTAGGTTCCTCAGTTTAATAATCTAGATAGAGGTGCATTAGCTAAATTAGGTTCCTCAGTTAAATAATCAAGACAGAGGTGCATTGGCTTAATTAGGTTCCTCAGTAAAATAATCCAAACAGAGGTGCACAAGCTAAACTAGGTTCCTCAGTTTAATAATCTAGATGGAGGTGCTCTAGCTAAACTAGGTTCCTCAGTTTAATAATCTTAATAGAGGTGCTCTAGCTAAACTAGGTTCCTCAGATTAATAATCTAGATAGAGGTGCACTAGCTAAACTAGGTTCCTCAGCTTCATAATCTAGATGGAGGTGCTCTAGCTAAACTAGGTTCCGCAATTTAATAATCTAGATAGATGTGCGGTTAAATGTGTTCAAGAAATTGAAAAACGAGTTATTTCCCAAAAATAGAAAAAAAAATTATAAATTTAATTATTCATGAATTGTGAATCTTTTAACACCCAGAAATAGAATTTGTTAATATTTAAGTAGTTTTTTACAATTTTTTTTTTATTTCAAAACAAGAAAATTAATTTTTTTCCTCTTAAAATATTTTTTTTCTTCACAAAATTTTTCAAGTGGAAATTTAGATTTGAAAATATTTAAGGGGAAGGGGGGGGGATATTTATTCAATAAATATGTACATTGTACAACAATCCAGTATAATAAAAATTAGAAATTGTGTAGTAAGACTTAAGTAATAGGTAAGAAATTATTAGAGTGAATAGGATAAATGTTTGAGACAAGATTGAGATTTAATTACAGATATATCATAAAAATGATACGACAGTTTTTCTAATGAAGCTATTTTTCCTGCAACTTAATTATGGACAAAACTTGAACACAGTGTATTTTTCATAGAAAAAAAAACATCCTTTTATCACTTATATAATACTATACACGCACATACAATTTAAAGACCTCTGTAAAATAAGGAAAATAAAGAAAATAACAATTGTACAACAATAATGCTTCAAAAGTTTCTACGTAAGTTTAAATCCCATCAAGAGCTCTCATGTCAATGGTGCATATTGCACAAGTTTGAGAGATAAGATTAATAAAAAGAAAGAGAAAAGGAACAAAGTAATTTTCCTCTTAAAACCTAGTTACCATGTTGACAACAAAAATGTTAATAATACTTTCGGTTCTAATAACAATCAAAATCTAGTACTCCGTAGGAATATATAGAACCCAATACCTGTACCCTTGATTCAATACTCGGTAGGCATATATAGAACCCTATACCTGTATCCTTGATTCAATACTCGGTAGGAATATATAGAGCCCTATACCTGTACCCTTGATTCAATACTCGGTATGCATATATAGAACCCTACACCTATATCCTTGATGCAGTACTCCGTAGGCATATTTAGAACCCCACACCTGTATCCTTGATGCAGTACTCCTTAGGCATATATAGAACCCTGTACCTGTATCCTTGATGCAGTACTCCGTAGGAATATTTAGAATCCTATACCTGTACCTGTATCCTTGATGCAGTACTCTGTAGGCATATATAGAGCCCTATACCTGTACCCTTGATGCAGTACTCCGTAGGCATACATGGAAACCTATACCTGTATCCTTGATTCAGTACTATGTAAGCATACATAGAAACTTAAACCTGTATCCTTGATCCAGTACTCTGTGGGCATATATAGAACCCTATACCTGTATCCTTGATCCAGTACTCCGTAGGCATAGATAGAACCTGACCCAACACTGAACACCTCGCCATTGATCCTCTCACCGTCACTAAAAAGGTCTTGTAAATAAAAATATCTCTCATTTGTCTAATTGGGAAACTATAAGACCTAAACTCATATCTTGACTAGGAAAAAAAACCCCTAATTTTGAACTTATAACCGAATAAAAAAAATAATTACAAGGGACCAAAAGTTTTTGCTGGATTCACAACGGTAACTTTCAAACCTTTATTTCATCGTGTTCTCTTATTTTCTCTGTTTCAGAAATCATCATGTTACTCGTTTAGCGAACCGCAATTGAAAATTTTAATTTTTAGAAAGAAAAACAGAGATAACTATCATTTTTGTAAGGGAATCATTGCGATTCTGGACATGACTTACCTATCAACGTAGTAAAGACCAGGTCCCCGTTTATCGTATCCAGCAATCATTACTCCCATACTCAGCCCCATACCCTTGTAGTTGTAGGCGTTATTAGACAACAGTTTACTAGCAGCAGCTACACTGATCCTTTCCCGGTTCCTGGACAAAATCATCAATATTATATATAATAATATATTTTATTTGTCAAGTGTTTGGTTGATGTTTTAGTATCCATTTTTTTGTGGCAACACACATAACCCCAAGAAATAGAGTTGTCCAAATTGAAATTTTGTTGTAGTTGGAAATCCATCAATGTAAACTGAAAATGTACGAAGTAAAAGTGGCAAATTGAGCAGTATCATTAAAAAGCTTAAATTGTTGACAGAAAAATGGATGCTAAGCATCCTTAACGCATAGTTTTAAGTATACAATACATACCGGAGTTCATAGAGTCTGCATTGTTTACTGAGAACCCTCTCCCAGTATACACAATCTGCTGCTCCTCCAGCCATAGTACCCAGTAGAAACTAGAAGAATTAACTTATCACTCATGTATACATATATAATCTATGGACATATTTCCCAGCAGGAACTAGAAGAATAAACTGGTCAATCTTGTATACATATATAATCTATGGACATAGTACCCAGAAGGAACTAGAAGAATAAACTGATCAACCTTGTATTCATATATAATCTATGGCCATAGTACCCAGAAAGAACTAGAAGAATAAACTGATCACTCATGTATAAATATATAATCTATGGCCATTGTTCCAGTAGGAACAAGAAGAATAATCTGATCACTCATGTATACATATATAATCTATGGACATGGTAGGAACTAGAAGAATCAACTGGTCAATCTTGTATACATATATAATCTATGGAAATAGTACCCCGTAGGAACTAGAATAAAATGGTCAATCTTGTATACATATATAATCTATGGACATAGTTCCCAGTAGAAACTAGAAGAATAAACTGATCAACCTTGTATACATACATAATTTATGGACATGGTAGGAACTAGAAGAATAAATTGATCACTCATGTATACATATATAATCTATGGACATAGTACCCAGTAGGAACTAGAAGTATAAATTGATCACTCATGTATACATATATAATCTATGGACATAGTACCCAGTAGGGACTAGAATAAACTGATCAACCTTGTATTCATATATAATCTATAAACAAACGCAAATGACACAGAAAGAAGAAATTATCAGGAAAGAAAAATGAGAATATTTCATTCATTCTTAATGAGACCAAGGTTTTAAGGGTACAGTTTCTTTATTGAGGGAATTTGGTAAATTTCGGAATATTATCAATAGTGGTCAGCTCTTAAGATGGTTATTGTGAGTTCACCGTCCATGACATAACAGATAGAATCAACTTATTCTATGCAATCAGAGCTATGATGAATATCAAGATTAATGCTTAAACTCCTGGTTTTACTAAACCCGAGATTATTTTAATACGACATTTGATATCCGGAAGAACTATAAAATTCAACCAATCAGCGTATCATGATAAGATGTACTTTTTAACTTTTGAAACCCCGTTTTTTTCTGGTGTTTATTGTGTCATATCAATTGAACCATCGATCAAATAAATGCAAGTTTTGGATTAATGTTAGTTAAGACTAACAGTCCTAAAATGTGATAAAATATATTTTTTAATAAGTTCATATTAACATGATTAATTTTTATTTGCTTAAAAGCTCTAAAAGCCGGCTTGTGAACAGCTAACTTTAATTCAATCTCATATTAGTTCAATCGAAATAGTATTGTACCTGTAATTGTTATCAAACGTAACTTTTATACAGTAGGGATATCCAAAAAAGAGGATTAAGAATAAAATCAAAAGTGTGTACATTGGATACTCAGATTAAGCGATCAGGCTAACGGATATCTCATTCTAAAGTTTTCAGCTCAGACCATATTTTACAAACGGATTAATATCTACCTCTCATGTTCAAATGTTCAATCTATTAAATATGTTTAATCTACAGCGCGCTCTAAGTATTTGATGTAATTCCTTCATTCAAAATATATTTTCATGTAAATCTCACATTTCAACAATATTCAGAAAATTTGAAAATAGAACATGTTTACGAAATAAACCCCTGAAGGGTTGACATACTTTCATCAAAATATTATACTTAAAGATTTATTATTTTTCCATGTATGCTAAGTTAATGTTTTTAACATCAGTTAATTTAACTTCATTTAAAATACAATGCATTAGTATTTAACAACATTTTCAAAATGTTTTTAGAAAAAATCATTAAAATTTATTATATTCTGTTCTGATCCCAGCCAGAATTTGTAAATGGCAATTGGCAATATTATTTGTTGAAATAAGGAAAATTGTCTCAGCTTTGATGATAGAACAGGGTTGAGGTTTTCAACATTTTATTCTCTTTATAAATGCTTTCCACAAACAAAAATTATTAAGGGCAAAGCGTTTTTTGGCGATAAGAAATGTCTTGTCAAAACGGGAATAAAATATAAAATTTAAACCTATGTTAAAGTGACTACTGTCGTTATTTAAAGGAGCCCTTTTTTAAAAAAGCGACATGTCCGATTTAAATGGTACCCTAAAATAATAATATCATTAATATTGGGGAAGTAATAAATTTTCTGGCTTGAAAACTGTTCAATTTAAACAATTTTTTCTCCACAGTTTCTGAAGCAACAAATGTATAACCAAAAATGAAAATTATCAGTTTTAAAAAACAACAAAAACATGAATATATAAAGTTCATACTTAATCAGACAAATCTTTTAAGGGTACCGTTGTTAATCAGATTCACGCATGAAACTATCAATAAAGGGTCAAGTATATAGGTTAACGGTCCCTTTAAGCAGAACACTAATTCCTAAATGAAAAGAAAGTGACACAAAATGAACTATTCACTAAAGATGAGAAGCGTAAAAGTATCCTAGATGAGACGACAATGACTCGGCAAAAGTTGTTTCTTTGACAAAATACTTCGTCATTTATAAGAAATATTGCATTTTTACTCAACACATTTTGTAAAAGCCACGCTAAGAAAATTATATTCGGCAATAACAACACATATTTAATATTTATTTTTAAAAATAACTTTTCCCTCACACTGAACTTTACTGAAGGAGGATGTTATATCATTAGTGCTACTTTGTGACCTCGTGTCTATATACTTTATTTTTAATTTTATGTACAAGTTTGAGAACACCAATTCGGTTTCATTTCAGAAAATGAAACCGTTTTAGTTTTCCAAAATCACAGGAATTAGGGTTGAAAACACAAAAGATTTTAATTCATTAATTTAAAGTTATGTTTAGTTACAAACTGCAGGGGGAGTCATTGCGACAAAGACTATCTAAGTTAAACCTAAAAGATGGGATGAAATTTGATTTCTCAAAAAAGTATATCCAGCTAGAAATTTAATCTACCTTGTTGATCTCGATGATCTTCTTTACACTCCCAGATCCAATATACATTCCTCCGGTAGCCCTGGAGTCCACAGCTAGAAGTACTCCGCCCTAATAAAATCAATTTTAAGTATAAAAACTTAACAATTATAATGGGACGGTATACGTATTCTAATTGACCCTCAATTTGTTTAGTGGTTTGTTCAATTGAAGTTAAACTTCTTAACTTTTTAAACGGAGATTTTCATTCATTTCTTGTTGAAACAATAGTGCCTTCGGAAAGCCCCTTGACATAATTTGCCGTCAGTGATATTTGAGTTCCATGACACTCTAGTTTTAGCAAAATCTACGTCTTTAATAATCAGACAAAAGTTAAAAGAAAATGGGCATGCCACTCTACGCAAGTATGCATGAAGATAGAAAGTTGAAACGGAACCCTGAGTTCCTAATATTATTTTAAATAAATGTTGTCCCAGCATAATTGTATAACAAGGATAAATTTCAAGTGAACCTCCGCGCAAACACGGTAATATCAAATTCACAACAGTACCCTTATTAGTTTAGTCTTATGTATGAATTTGATATCAAAATTAATAAAATTGAAAACTGATTATTTTCAATTGTAGTTTTTTCCCAGTGACTTGCGCATTTCTACTACAGGAAAACATTTATGAATTATCAGAATTAAACACGTATAAACCTAGAAAAACGACATTATTTTCCACATTTTAGATCAGAAAGATTTCAAGGGTACCGTTGTTGAATCAGGCATTGCCATCTATGCATGGACGAATATATGAAATTACGCTAATGTCTATTTAATCAACTAATTAAAAAGTTTAACCCACCTGGTACTTGAATCCTAGAGTAGTAGTTCCATGATCAAAGTTCATTGGGATATCCTTACCCTGGTCATCCACTAGCACACGTCCAAGGTTAAACCCAGGCTAAAATAGTGGAGTTAAAATATCCTTTTTTTAAAAGTGGGGCGCTTAAACCCGTAAAATACGTAGAAGACGTCGGCGAAACTCTAGTTATGGCATAAACAGGAGTATATATTTTTTTAATAATTTCCCTCCCCTTTTTATCATCTACCTTTTCCCTAGATATCGGGTATGTAAAAGTATTATTAAGGATAAAAAAACTTGCCATTTGATGCCCAATTTTTCATTCCCCAAGGGGGTGGGGAAATCATCCCCCCCATGTTTATTTTTATAAAATTGAGTTTACGTTGAAACAGTAAACAAACCTGTGAGAATGGTGGAAGCATGAGCTGAGAGTTTGCTTCAATATTAGTAGTTTCCATACAGAAATCATCCATATCCAAACCTTGATAGAAATTTTCTTTAAATAAAAATAAAATAAATTGTACCAAAAAAAAACAAAGCTTGAAAGATTTTACCTCGCCTAGCGGGTTTGTAACCACAAAAGTCTGCCAAAGCCATATTAAACTAAACTGTCTGAAAATATTTTAATTAAAATAGAAAATATATATGAAATACAAAAATATAACAATATTAAGATATAATTATGAAAATATAAATATCACTCCCGGTTCCAAAAATACTGTATTAAAGAGAGGTTTCCTTTGATCGAAGGAACAAAACATATTTGAACAACTCTGGTCAATAAGAACACAAGAAAGCCAAAAATACCACCCAAAGATGTCCAAGAGTCAGAATAAAGAAACTCTATTCTAATTCCTTTATCTTTGCAACCAAATGGTGTAAACCATTGATCTTTCAAACTTTGGACTATTTAATCTAACATAAGTCTTAATTTGAAAAATCAAAGGACTACAACATCGGGTGCAAAGATATAAGGATAACAAATTTCTATATTTATACTAACTGACAATATTAACAACCTTAGAATTTTGGTAAAACCGGTATTATTAAGTCTGCGTTCTTAAGTCCAAAATTTGAGATTTATGTCTTTTGTCTATAACAAAAAAGATGAACAATTCTTAAGAATAAAAAGCTGAATAAAATTGTTACATGTTTATCACAGATAAATTGAAATACTGATAAAATTTAGAAAAATACAAGTATATATAGAAAGTTAAAAATAATATGCAACAAGTAAAATGCTTTAAGTAAGTTTTTACGTTTATCTTAAAAATTAAATTCTGATTTAGGACCCAATAATTTTTTTTACAATTACATCTTAGCACTCGCAAATAAAAAGTTTAATTATATAAACAATTACCAAATTTAACAGATATACTTGGTTTCAGATCTTGTCAATGATTTCCTCATAATTGAGGTTGTGTGAACATTTAAAAAAATGTATTTGGAAACAAAGTCTTTCATTAGTGTCGATTGTAATTGTCCAGAGGTTAAAACCTATGAGTAAAATAGAGTAATTGTGGCAACTATTAAACTTATTGTGATAAGTACATATTCCCCCGAATTATAGCTATCCCTTCTAGGTTTAGGACCACGTATATCCAAATCATATCAATTAGACTTCTAGTGATGTCTTCCTTCAAATTAAATCCTTTAACTCGATCCCAGAATTCAAAAGACCAAAAGCTATGGCCTTTGAGGGCATTTAGATTAATCGCTCATGTTATCCCTAATCATCTGTTTCACTTTTATCCATCTCTTCTTCAACAATCTTCTTCAAAGTTTTTTTTCTAAACAATATTTCTTCCTTGTTATTTTCTGCCTTTTTCTCTTCTTCATTTTTCTTCTTTCTTGTTGCCATGATCTCCCCCTCATCTAAACTATTTGGAAGGTTTTCACAGTCCTGGCAAAGTTGAAATAATATAAAATCCATCAGTTAACAGAATGTTGTAATGGAACTGTCGTTCAAATCTTGATTAATAATTATATACGGCGGAACGTAATCTGATCAAAAATGTGGATCTAATTAATACTTTACCGTCGTAAATCGGGCATTGCCATCTTTGTATCGAAGGTCACTTGAACTCACGCTTACAGTCCCATATTTTTGTTTTAAAATGTATGCTAACTTCATTCAATTTTGTTATAGCAGTTTTCTAAGTAATTATTGTGCTCTATACTGTGTGTATATTAGAACACTGAGCTATTCAATTTAATTGGTTCCTGGATTTACTATAAAAAATTTGAGATATTTCTAGAATGATTTTTAAATTGTCAATAAAAATAAGTTTTTAATTGTTCATTATTTCACTTTCCTTTGTTTCCGGATGAATGTAGAGAACAGCCAAAGCTGAGATGAATGCTAATACTCCGTAGATAAGAACTGGTAGCATTGGTTTCTCCTTGTCCAATTCTACCAGGAGGGGGGAGATGATGGCTCCCAATCTAGCTGAGCTTGAGCACAAGGATAACGAGGAGTTCCTAGACATAAATCAGGCATTATAGACTTTAAGCGTAATTTCAATTTATGGAGTGGGTTGGCCGATTCACAACAGCCTTGTCTTAACAACTTTTCTTCAAAAAGAAAAACAGAACCCATAGAAAACTTGTTTATAAGAAAGGAATAAAATTAAAAAGTTCTAGAAACATTGAAAGTTATTAAAATATTCCAAATTACTTCTACAGATCAAAGAAAAAAATGCAAATAGATTTTCTATTTTTCTTTGACAAGAAAATTATTCAATTTTAAAACAGAATTCAACACCTTTATCAATTATATATAAGAATTAATTGTTAATTCATCAAAAAACGACAATTTTGCCATTTTCAAATGAATAAAAGCAACTAGAATTCTTTTTACAACCGCTAGACCAACCAAAATAATATGACCTCTGAATAGCAAGAGATTTGAGAAGTATGAAGTGAATGACGTTGGAATCAGAAAATTGCAATAACAACACTAAATAAAATCAAATCATGCAGCTACCCCCCCCCCAAACTAGAAAAGAATTTCCTAGTTCAAGAATACAGTGAGATCTTATAGCTTGAACCATATTAAAAATTAAAGTTAAAATTGATGTCTTGAAATTAATGATTCTTATCTTATCCATTAACTAATACAACTTCACAAACGTAAAAACTTAGTTTCCATCTCCCGTCTTTGATTGTGTAAGATAAAATATTGAAATGATTTCTATACGACACTGCAGACGCGTGACTCAATTTCTGTAAAGAAATGTCTAATTCGCATCGGTACCCTTAAAAGCTTTATATAATTATGAATAAATTTGAAATACATAGTAGTTTCTCAATAAAAGTGAATACAGATTAATGCTGCAAAACCAGAGGAAATTAAACCTTTTCCAAAATAGCAAACGTCCAATTGGTTAAATATACTCTTAAAGGGAACCATTGTGAATCAAACATACCTGACATGAAAAATCACTTTAAAATACAACGATAGTCTCCAAAATGATTACATTGGCTTTAGATAATGAAAGAATTCCTTTCCTTGGCGAACATTCCATGAGGGATAACTGCTGCCAACAGTAAACTTCCTGAGGTAAACACGAATCCAACAATCATTAACCTTTTCCTTCCAAACCTATTCATCAAATACGGACCTGATAACATTAAATCAAATCAAATCATATCACATCAAATCATATCATATCATATCATATCATATAATGTTTGATCTCCTATTTTTCCTAATCTGCAGATTAATTTGATCTTGCATTAATAGCTAGGAATGTGTCCAAAATGCAACGAGAGTGTCAATTTTGGCGCCGCGCAATCACTTAGAGAACTCTCATTGGTCAGAATCCAGCAATGATAACCAATAGAGAGGATTAAGCAGAAAATCAATTTAGCAATCGGTATTAAGGGTATCCAATACCAGAGTTCATAGCTTCAGATCAGATGTAATGGGCATTACATTGTATTAGCCCTTTCTATCATGGGGGATGTATAAAATATACAAAATAAACATTGCCGTATTTTAATAAAAGAAAACTGATACAAAACAGATAAATAAAGTGTTTTTGTTTTGGAGAAATATTTTCCTACGGAGAAATTAAATACCTTAAAAAAAGAAAAATTTACAAACACATGTTGTGGCAAGACATGTGTTGTTATTTTATCCATTTTATCATATTTACTGAGACATATCTTTACATTTTTCTGAATACGGAGGAAGGCATTTGTAATAATAAGGATTATTAGCAATTAGTAAATTTCCTCTTTATTAAATTTTACTCAAATTATTTTATAGATCTTTTTATATTATTTTTAGTTCATTGTGAAGAAAATATTGCTTACTGATAAAGTTAGCTGGGATTTCCATAAGTCCAGCCAGGAAGAACACCATGTAAACATTACTCCCAAACTCAGGTGTATGGAGAGCTATACCATAGTATACCAGACCAACACTAAACATTTGTAAATATCAGATTCTGATGAATATACTTTATATAGATAGATAGAGGTATACCATAGTGTACCAGACCAACACTAAACATTTGTAAATATCAGATTCTGATGAATATACTATACATATATAGATAGAGGTATACCATAGTACACCAGACCAACACTAAACATTTGTCTATATATAAATGGTAACTTGAAATCACGTTTTTAGTATATTAAAACTACCTTCTCAGAGGTAAATAAATTAACGTAATTAACTCTATAAATTAATAACACTAAACATTTGTAAATATCAGATTCTGATGAATATACTATACATATATAGATAGAGGTATACCATAGTACACCAGACCAACACTAAACATTGTTAAATATCAGATTCTGATGTTGAAGTTTTTATTTTTGGGGCCTATGTAGTGATTAAATCGTCGGATCGCAAGCGTACATACGATTTTGAATTTTTTATCGCATTATTTTTTTAGGTCTATCACAAACCCCAGGTGGTCGGATGGCTCAGTCCCAATATTTTGAAAACTAAATATTTGTATTTTCCGTTTCTTGTTAAATGTTTGCAATTATGTTACATTTTTGGTTTTACATGTATAACATTTTAAATGAGTTACTGTTGTTATAACAGACTAGACCATACGGAAAATTAATTTTAAAACTTTTTTTAAGTAAGATTAAGTACTGTGTATTTGAAATTAGAATAATAAAAAATAACATCACAGAAATAATTATTCCGTGTTTACATATTTCATGTTGAGAGACGACTTTTTTAATGCATGATAATTTGAAAAGGAATATTGCATGTTACACAACTATAATTTAAAACATGATAATTTGTAAGAAACAAATCGTAAAAATATTTATTCAGTTGTATAACTAATTAAGATATTCTGATTAAATATTTGGATAATATATGAGATAATCTTCCTATCTGCGCACAATGTAATAATAAAGAATAAAATCTTATATTTTCATTCAAACGTTATATATCGAAAATGTTTACAAAAAACATTTCGAATACTTAAAACATTATACATAAAAAATGTTTTCCGGAAACATTTTAAAAGTTTGAAATTTTGGAAATCAATATATTATATCGGTTTGATCGCTGTACATAATATAACATTTATCTATTTATTTAAAGAAAATTTCTGGGGTTGTTCCTAACTTCCTGGCCCCAGACAATCCCACCCATCAGCACTCCCCCTACCGATACGCATATCAATCACACCTGGGGTCATCTGTTTAGTCCGCTTAAGGCATGTTCTATTGCTGAACCCAGGATGCAAGCGTACCCGGGTAATATACATATGTGCCGAAGTTTTCAGGTAAAATATTAACAAAAAAAATAATTTTTGATGAGAAAAAATACTTGACATTAATATTTAATAGGCAAGTTTTTAAACCCCTTTCTTGATTCTTTATACCCAAAATTCAATTATTTCCACCTGAAAATTATTTATTTTTCCGAATACAACAAACTGAAGGACGTGCAATCTTTTATATTTTTATTAAAGCTTAAAATCAAGTGACCCTCTATGCAAAGATGACAATGCCCAATTTACATTAGTATTTCTTAAAGCTTTGTTAGATTAAGTATGAAATAGATATCAATGGTTTTGTTTTGTTTTAACTGTTTTTTTTTTATTTATATTCTCTCTAAAAAGTGATTTACGCAATTCTTGCTGATAAGAAACAATTAAGAATTATAAGAAATAAAACATTTCGTGTCAGAAAAACGACGTTATCTTCTAAATGTTTGACAAGATAAAGGGTTGTAAATCGGGCATACCCATCCTTAAATTGAGGGTCACTTGTAACTACGCTTGCAGTCCCTTTAAGGTATCATTTTAAAATCGTATTGACTAGCCTGAACCAGGAGAAGGACATGCAGAGTATATTTCTCCCAATATTTGGAAACTGAAGAATACTTAGTAGCCCAGGAACATGGGTTTCTAATACCACTTCATTCAGATTCTTGAAATAAAAAACGGGGAAAAGTGTTCCTTAGACTCATTTAAACCCGAAATAGAAAACATTTATAATTTCTACGTAAAATTCCCGATTTAATGATTTTATAGTTTTAAAATACCTTGATTTTTTATGATTTAAGGGAGATTAAGCTAAGTAGAATATATGCAAATATTAGGGTACTTCAAAAAAATCAAAATCTTGATATTAAAAAGGCACTAAACGGAACGAAGTTCCGCCACGAGATTCTTCTCTTCTTGGTTTAAAAATTCCAGGGAGGCTCTTTTGAAAATCAGTCCCCCCCCCCCTTAATTTGGGTTATACACTTTTTGCAAGTGTACATATTATTTTGTAAAGTCGTCCCTCTTCCTTAAAGAAAATCCTTTTTTCCAGTAGCTTAGTGTGCTTTAAGCTTTGCAGAAAATAACTGGGTTTTAGGGAAATAAATTAATTTATGGGTTAAAAGCAAATAAAAATGAAGTACAATTTTTTAAGTCTTCCGCCAGAACATCGAAAGTATATAACCCCGTTTTTGTTGTAGAGTAATGAAATAAAAATCTTATGTTTGGCTAATTTCAACAAAAGAAGGAAACAACAGAAGGATTGCAAAAACTGTGCGGTATATTTTTACTCTGTTTACTTAGTTTATCACATATGGAAGAAAAACAGAATTTAAACTAAATAAATTATATTTTCAAAAATACGAAAACAGATTTAAACCTCCGGCTAAAATGGAATTAGAGTAACCTTCGGGAAATATTTATAAAAATAAAACTTTGTATTGGATTAAATAAGGAATCTTTTTCCAAGAGAATTCAGACATTTTTACCAATGTTAGGGGGGAGAGCGGATAATTTCCCGTGGTTTAAAAATGCATGCTTACTCGGTTGAGCGAAACTGCGCCCTCGGGTGCTATTTCTAGAATCAAGTGGCGACACATTTATACTTTATCATAGCCATGGTTAATGTTTTTTAATGAATTGCTCCCCCCCACTGGCCAATTTAATGTTTAGTTTGAAGATGATATTTGCCTACCTTTAAATGGTTTATTATTCCAATAAGATATCCTCTCAACTATCTTTTCAGCTTCATCTATCCGCCCTAAATAATATTTATTTGTATTTATTTTAATTGAATTATTTTTTTGTCGTGGATTTTCATAAGTATTTCTTCACATTTTTGAAAAAAATAAAATATTTAAATTTGAATTTGAAATTAAATGGAATAAAATACAAAAATCTTCAGACTTTTGCCCATCCGTTGCAGTTGCAAACATAGACGTGTTTTACTTTCCCGACCAATTAATGTTATTCCCGTCTAATCTTATCTTTTCTTGAAGTTGAGTTAGATATTTCTAAAAACTTGGAAGATGTGGGTGGGGGGGGAGGGGTAGAAAGAGGTGGGGGGATTCTTAAGTGAAGCATATTCTGTTTAAGACCTACAGCTTTCCTATTTTGTTTCAAAATCCAAATTAGTCAAAACTACAAATTTGATGGTTTTAAATTTAATCTTTAATAACAAATATTTTAATATTTACAAAATTCGTCAAATGTTATGGTCCAATTAAGCCTAATTAAATTCCTTAAATACCATAAATCTTAATATTAACAAATATCCAAAGAGGAGCGAGGGAAGGCAGGCGGCCATGAATCACTATTTCCCTTTCCGTACCACATATTAGCTTTTTTCTAAGTCTAATGATTATTCAATTACTGACTTATTATACTAAATCCATCTTAAAATCAGTCATTAACCAATTTTGTGATATTTCAAGATGCAATACTCAGTCAAATTTTTCAAAAATTTCATTGTTAAACAGTTTAAGAATTCAACACACAAAATATTAATCTTAAGTAGAATTGAAAAAATGGTTTGAGTTGTGCTTTTTTGCGTGACGCGGCTGGATTACACTTTAAAGGCCCTAAATATACCATTTAAAAAAGTAGTTTTGCCCGGAAGAGTCAAATGTGGTGGTACGGAAGGGGAAATAGTGGTGGCTCATGGCTGCCGGAAGAGAAAAAAGCTAATATGTGGCACGGAAGGGGAAATAGTGGTGGCTCATGGCTGCATGCCTTCCCCCGCTCATCCAGAAGTACTTTCATGTATGCATTGTATGTGAATACTTTTTCTCAAAATATCTTTATCCATCAAATTCAGTAAACAATTATTTTATCTGCTTAAGAATATATTCTTATAGAGACTGCAAGCGTAATTTTAAGCGACTCTCTATACAAAAGATGGCAATGCCCCAATTAAAACGGTACCCTTGAAACCTTAATCTGATCAAAAATGTGCTCATTTCTGTGAATTTCTCAAATACAATTAACGTTAGCACAAAACAGCAAACGAAAATAAACAGTTTAACAATAACAATTTATATAATTCATACTTATTCAGACAAAGCTTTCAAGGGTACTGTATTTAATCGGACATGTCCATCTTTGTATGAAGGCACGGTGCAGTGGTTTAAAAAAGCAGATTTCATGGACAACAGTTCTTAAACGGCTATACAGTACTAAAAGGCTATACAGTTCTTAGAAGGCTATAACTTTTAAACTATTTTGACTAGAAATCCGTACTTTGTAAAAATAATGGGTGCTATCCTTATTTCGCGATCTTAATGAAAAAGTTAGATTTGCATTTTTTTGGAAAATGATAACTTATGAATTAGAATCTTACTCTTTTTATTCAATGTTTGTGCCTCCATATCAAACGAATGGCTCAACCAAATTCAAAAATATTTTTAACTAGTTCCCTCTCAGGTAATTAAAGGAAATGATCAAAAAAATTGAATTTATTTGAAATAATTTTTTTCTTCTTCTTAATTTTCAATTTCCATCATTCTTGAAATCAAGGAAGCCCTTTTTGTGGACATCATACTTTAAACTTTTATTGTCTTCACAGTTACAAATTTGCCACTTTTGAGACATAATTATTAACGTAAATGAAAGAATTAAATTTTTTTTTCATTTTGAAGGTTATAATTTCCACGCCATTTTTTCTGCTTCAAATTTAAAATTGTTCCTAAACCGGAGCAGTGCTCAAGCTGAACTGTAATCCAATGGAAAGCTAACATCTTCGAGATTTCAAAACATTTATGGTTTGGTATGAGCAGCACTGCTCCAGTTTTTGAGTTAATCCAGAATTTGTGAAAATTTTGGAGGGTAAAAATGACTAAAATTTAACATTTTCGTTTAACTTGTTTTGTGTTTTCGTCATTTTCCAATAAAAAATTTATATACTTCTGTAAAGTCTTTAACTAATAAAATTTATAAATCACGTCAGAAACATTTTTTTAAAACTCGAGTAAAAATAAACATAAATATGCTGATAAAAAAAAATAAAAAATAGCAACAGTTTACTAAAACTTTTGAAACATCACAAAAGTAAAAATCTTTATGTCTTAATACTTTGTTTCTAGAAGAGCTTTTAACACATTTTTTTCGGTTCTTAATCGGCCTATAATTCACCTATCTGCAACAAAAGCTTTTTTTCCATGTCTACAGTTTAAACCATTGTGGAAGGGTATCTTGAATTTACGCGTACAGTTCCTTTAAGAATATGAACAAGTAGAAAAATCTGCAGTCTATAAAATCTAGCGGACCAAGTATATATATGCACTTACCCACTGAAAGAAGCCATTTAGGGGATTCAGGTTGAATCCAGTACAAACCAATAAATGGAAGAAAGCACAGAGCAATAAAAACTAAAAAAAAACATTAATTAGAAATTTCAACAGTTTTTTTGACTTACAAAATATTTTACAGATAAAGCAATTTGAATGAATTTAAATATTCCCCCCTTAAGAAATATCTTTCGTGCTTCAAATAAAAAGTTTCCAAAAAATAAACAAACACACTCATGAATCAACACAGTGATAAAAGCATACCCGGTAAACAGTAAAACCCATAAATCGTGGAAAGGGAAGACAACATTTATGAAATTTTATTTATCCTTTTCCAGTAGATTGTAAATCAAATTGGCAAGTAGAATGGGTCTTATAACACTCAATAGCGTATTTTATGTTTAATTGACTATCTAAAATTCTAAATTAGGTCTTGACAGTTTTCTTCATATTCCACAGTTTCACCGCTGCGTGAAAAAAACTAAGTTAAAACAGGTGTCAAACAACTTGCCAGTTGATATCAAATTTTTCATATTTTCCCCCCTCAGAGCATCTAAAATTCTAAAAAATTCCTACCTTCAAGTTGCTTCATATCTGGTATAAGATAAACAATAACCGGTAGAAGCATATATCCAGATGACCAGCCCAGGGCACCGGTCATATTACCCCAGGTTCTCCATTTACTACCTACCATCTCTACCTTTAAACAAAATTAGATAATTTGTATCCAGGTCTCTTGATGTTTATTGTTTAAATTCTTTATTTTTTATTGTGTAAATATTTTGAAGAACTCCTCCCACCCTAGGGAGGGGGTGCAGAGGCGCCATGATCCCCGCAAAAATGATCTCCGAACCTCAGGATTTGCAGAATTACCTCCAGGCCCCGCAAAACTGGTCTCCCAGCCTCAGTGACGTCACCAAGCCTTCCGCCATTCTGTCTCCACGCCCCGCATTTTGGTCTCCGCTTTTTGTTTTTATTTTTTGTTTAAATTTATTGGCTTAACAAAACATAATTTTTTTTATTTTTCCCTGAAAAGTAATTTTAGGGAATAAAACCCTAAATATACCTAATTTCCGGGTGATTTTCTGAAGATGTGAGGGGGGGGGCGGTTAAAAAGAAAATATACATTATATGATTAATATTAGAATATTATGCGCAGGAAGAAAGTGTAATAATCAAAATTATTGTATAATATTAAAAGAAAAACCGTGGAATAATTTTGATTATTCACCGAAAGGCGCAGCCTGAGGAGGAAAAGGGGATGTTTTAAACCAGAAATTAGAAGGGTTTGAATAAAAATCTACCTGTATAGTAAACCTGACTGTTATCATTCCTATAGCGGAGGCACCCAGCAGAAATCTGAATATAATATAATATAAGAAAATATGCTAGATTTCATAACAATATCTGTCTAGTGTCTAAAGAGGGTTTCTCCGTTCTACTTTAGAAAATGGGGTGGGGAGATTTTAAGGGGTTATAAGTAACTCCAAGGTCAATAAATATACTTTGATTACTTTTTAAAAAGCTGGCTTGATTACTTCTATATATATACTTTGCTTGTCTGATCGTCTGTTTGTTTGTTTGTATCCAATGAACAACAAAACGGCTTAAACGATCGGGCCCAAATTTTGTGTGTGCCTTCACATGTCCCCAGGAAGGTAAGGTTTATAAATGATCAAATTTTTTTTATTTTTTTTCAATGAAATCCACAAATTTTTGTTGTTTTATTTATACAATGTATACACAAAACAAAGAGAAAATGTTCACAATTGAAATAGAAGATGGGCGCAGCTTAGTCGAAATTGAATTGAAAGTGAATTTGTTGAGAATGAATAAATCTATTTTGTGTCAAATAATCAAATAATCAACATTAGCTAAATACTACCAAATACCCTTGTAAAATGATATTATCCCCCCCTTAAAAAGCGAGATTATAATTAATAGTTAATTTACATTTATCAATTTACACTTTTTTGTAGCTTTGAAATCCTGTGTAGTGTGTAATGTGAATATCTATTTTAAAATAACATATGTTTGAACCAGTTTTCTTGGGAAAAGCATCAAAAAGAATGTGACAAAAATCTTTGTACATTGTACACCCCTGAATATCTTTCAGAAAATCCCGGATAATAGAATCTTTTTTAACAAAACATTTCTCTTTGATGTGAAATCCAGTTTAAAATTAGATATAGATCAAAAGAAAAAATGAAGGAAAATATGTTTGAAAAGAGAGGGAATAGAAACTTATTCTATCGACAAAATATCAAATCTATTTTCTAGGGGTATAAAGACAGACATTATTATACAAATACTTTTTGATTTGTACAGATCTGCGACAAAACCTTCGTTTATGAATTTATGACTTATTTCAATCTAAATTGGAACGCCTCTTGGCCGTATTTTAGTTCATATTTAATCTTTTTAAAATAATTTTCTAAGAATTGAAAACATGGATGTCAACTGGCAATTTTACCCCCGGTGCCTTTTCCCTCTAAATATCATTAATTTCACCCCTCAAATACTGATCATGTTATATTATCTACCTGAGAACTATCCAATATATTACCTACCTGAGAACTAACCAAGTATATTATCTACCTGAGAACTAATCAAGTATATTATCTACCTGAGAACTAACCAAGTATATTATCTACCTGAGAACTAACCAAGTATATTATCTACCTGAGAACTAACCAAGTATATTATCTACCTGAGAACTAACCAAGTGTAGAATGATGAGGTGATACCTCCCATTACACCAAAAATAACTACTCCAGCCACCAGACTGAAAAATACGGGTTTTCTCCCGTAAATATCTGCCAACACGCCTGAACAATAAAATTAAGAAATTAAATCAATGCACTAATTTTCCATAAAATAATCGCTATTATCAGATTCAGCGAATATAACACTAGAACTGTTATACCTATCAATAAAATCTAGGGGAAAAACATTGTTTAACCCCCTGTAAATATTTTCAATAATTGATTCTTGATGCTCTGGAGGAAAATTGTGATTTTTCAAGATATATATTTACCCTGTAACTACCTGAGAGAAAAACTCCGATTAAACATCCGGAAAAGAATACAGACTGGGCTATACTATCCATGCCCTCTAAAACAGAAAAACTTTAAAGGGACTGTCGTTAAAGTCTCCGGTGACCCTCAAATTCAAACAAGAAATTCAAGCTTCATAAAGAACCCCTGAAAACCTTTATCTGCTCAAAAATAAAAATTGGAAATAATCAATTTTTTAAGTGTAAAAATGGAAATTTCATCATGTTTTAGGTGTAAAAATGGTAATTTCATCATGTTTTAAGTGTAAAAATGGAAACTGTTTAATTTTTTATCAGACAACATTTTTAAGGTATCATTGTGCATCGAACATGTCACAGCCACTCCGTTGTACACTCGCGTTTAAAAGAGATGTGATAATTTTACTATTATTAAATTAAAAATAGATACTTTCATCTCTATTCAATCTTTATGAAGAGAGAGAAGTAATAAATTCCCCCCCCCCCTCTTCTTTTTTGACTGCGCAAGTAATTTTAACTTCCCAGAACATCGGACATTTATTAAAATATCGATATAACTGTCTCGGCATAAAAAGATGCCTTTAACGATGGCAACCATTGTTTCCTACACTTGAAAACAAGGTTTTTAATTTTCACTAAATAATTGAGTAACCCTTTAGAAGACTTTATTGAAGGGAGACCAAATCTAACATTCCCATCATTATTTTTTAAGAGTTTTGGTTAATATTTTTAATCTCGTTCTTTGTGGGTAACCTGGTATATAATTTCTTTATTAAAAGGAGTGTTCGCGAAAAATGAAAGGGGGTATAGGCTTAATGCGATAAAAAAGCGCTTTTGATTGCTTCTAATCTTACTTCTATTTTTTGCGTATAGAAGGAGAAAATTGTTAAAAACGACTAATACCGAAGAACGAAGTATCCATACAAATTCAGAAAGATGCAATATATGTGGCGAAAGATAATCGATGATCATAGGGTGTAATATCTGAATGATTTGTATGAAATTAAATAGATTTTTTTACGGTCTAAGTCGTATGTTGCATCTTTCTGAATTTGTATGGATACTACATTCTTCGGTATTAGTCGTTTTTAACAATTTTCTCCTTCTAGACGCAACAGATAGAAGTAAGATTAGAAGCGATCAAAAGCGTCTTTTTATCGCATTAAGTCTATACCCCCTTTAATTTTTCGCGAACACTCCCTTTAAGTGTAAAGGGAGGAATTTATTAGAGCTCAGATTGCTTACCTTGATCACAAACTAAATTCCATCTTTGATGAATGGTAGATCTGAAATAAAGGAAATCATCAACACTTCTAGTCAACTTAAAGGGACTGTAAACATGATTTCAAGAAAACTTTATTTTTTGCGTCATGTCAGATTCGAATCTACTCGGCTATCTTTTGTTTGATCATCTCTAAAGAAGAATTCTTTGTTTATCAGGCGGAAAAAATATAGTCCAGAGTCCGAATTTAATGAATTTGAGCCGTGTCTTAAATCCACAAAAACCAGTTTCAATTGTAATTGTACTTAATGTTTCAATTGAAACATTAAATACAATTTCACGTGGAACCAACCATTTTTAAGCCGCGAATCAAATTCTTTAAATTCGGCCTCAGGTAAATTGGTCGAAGCAGTTTATGAGTATACTCAAGTTTAATAGAACTATTTTTAGTTAGAAAATGAAGAATTCTTTATTAAAAGCAACTAAAAGTAAAAACTTCTATTTTCAGTTTTACAATGAATTGGAACTGACGTTTTGAAGAGAGGAAGGAAAATTGTTTTGACTGCACTACATTTAGACAAAATAAACCTTAGTATACAATTCACAGTAGAAGTGTGGGATCTGTTTGTTTACCTGAATTGTGATTGGTTTAATATATAGTTCATACATTTCTCCTGATCTGGTCCTACACAGTAGTAGTGTGGGATCTGTTTGTTTACCTGAATTGTGATTGGTCGATTATAAAGTTCATACATCCTACACAGTAGAAGTGTGGGATCTGTTTGTGTACCTGAATTGTGATTGGTCGAATATAAAGTTCATACATTTCCCCTGATCTGGCCCTACACAGTAGTAGTGTGGGATCTGTTTGTTTACCTGAATTGTGATTGGTCGAATATAAAGTTCATACAATTCTCCTGATCTGGTCCTACACAGTAGTAGTGTGGGATCTGTTTGTTTACCTGAACTGTGATTGGTCGAATATAAAGTTCATACATTTCTCCTGATCTGGCCCTACACAGTAGAAGTGTGGGATCTGTTTGTTTACCTGAATTGTGATTGGTCGAATATAAAGTTCATACAATTCTCCTGATCTGGTCCTACACAGTAGAAGTGTGGGATCTGTTTGTTTACCTGAATTGTGATTGGTTTAATATATAGTTCATACATTTCCCCTGATCTGGTCCTACACAATAGTAGTGTGGGATCTGTTTGTTTACCTGAATTGTGGTTGGTTTAATATATAGTTCATACATTTCCCCTGATCTGGTCCTACACAGTAGTAGTGTGGGATCTGTTTGTTTACCTGAACTGTGATTGGTCGAATATAAAGTTCAGACATTTCTCCTGATCTTGTCCTACACAGGATTCATCAAAACTAGTTCATGCACTATTAAATCAAACATTTAATATCAGAATGTCTTTTATGGGGAAAGTCTACGAATTTATAAGAGTTGCATCCCTGAGTCGAGAAAACTGCTTAAGGTTGGCGGTCCATTAAACTTATAGTAGTAACCGGAAAATGGTGGTATTGTAATCGTATTTTTATTAATCACAAAATGTTGCAAAGATTTTTATTTCTAAAATGTGAACAACTGTCAGGTTTTACAATCACCGTTTCCAAATCCTTTCTGAATAATAAAAAGAAAGAAGACAACAATCAATCCACAGTTATCTTCCGTTTAAATAAAGAATACTCTATTCAAATATTGTAAACTAACAAGCCCTATTATACACGTGAAAACAGGATGAATATCGTCTATATCATGTCGTTAATCTGTCGCTTTGGATCCGTAATTTGGGAATTATTTGACTGAAGTGTAAAGAATATTTTATAAATAAATCCGTCATAATCCTTACATATTATAAAATTCTTTAAATTAATCAAACAATTTTTGTGAAAAATATCTTACAGTGGAACTCAGAAAACTGTAAAATGGGAAGACGACATTAAAGCAATCTTTTGCGTATTTTATGCTATAAAAAAGCAAATAGTTTAGCTTTAAACTAAACTCATTATGTGATATGAGAATTTGTACAAGAAAATAGCTAAACTGCTGTATTTCATGACTATTTGGGATTAATAAAGTTTATCTTCCAAACCAAATCAAATCAGACTAAAAAGAATTTCCTACACCCACACGCCGAACTGAATATACTAAATTGGGAATACGATTAGGTTTTACAATTTGTAATAAATACATTTGTACAGGTTCGATGCCGGACATTTAATTTGAAAGGGTGTATTACCATCATTTATAAAAAGTGAGTTGTTTCCAAAACTTCGTTTTCTTTGTGATTTTTTGATCCTTCGTTAACAACATTGTTCTTCCATCATTCAACAGTTTTATGGGTCCCAGTGTACAGTATACAGTGTACACGTAATTAACGTAATATTAAATTAAATGCATTCCTAATGTTTGGTGTAAAGTGATCTGCGCACGTAAAGTTAGTTCTCATTCCAACAAACTTTAAACTAGAAAGAAAACTTTAAACTAAAAAGAAAACTTTAAACTAGAAAGAAAACTTTAAACTAAAAAGAAAACTTTAAAGTAAAAAGAAAACTTTTAACTATAAACACACTTAATAATAATAAGAAAACTTTAAAATAATAAGAAAACTTTAAAATAAAAAGAAACTTTAAAATAAAAAGAAACTTCAAATTAAAAAGAAAACTTTAAATTAAAAAGAAAACTTTAAAATAAGAAGAAACTTTAAAATAAAAATAAAACTTTAAACAAAAAAAACTTTATAATAAAAAGAAAACTTTCAACTAAAAAAAGAAAACTTTCCACTAAAAAGAGAAAACTTTATGGGATTTGTGCTGTAATTGCATGTCACCTTTTACTAAAGTATAAAAAGGCACCGCTGTGAACCGGACATGCCCCTCATTTAATATAGGGTCAATTGAAATTACAAAGACAGTCCCTAAGTTCAAATAGAACAAATAAAAGTGAAATCATAACGTGATCAACTCCGCTATAATATCAAGTTTATTTCCTTAAAGGGACCGTATGCGTAATTTCAAGTGACCCTACATGCAAAGATGGCGATGCAACACACTTAAAACCTTAATCCAATCAAAAATAGAGAACACTGACTCACAAGATTCTTTTAAAGGGAGAGACCGGCTAGAAATGATAGTTGAATTGAAAGTGAAGTATTTTAGAGAAAAACTTTATGATTCATTTGATACCAATGAGACATTTTTACGGTGTACAATTTTTAAATAAGAGCGTAAAGACGTTTTTAATATTTCACCAGTTGATTCAGTCAGCAGAAGAAACGTCTTTTTACATTTCTTAAATAACATAGCCAAAACATGAAACAAATACTATTCTGCAAACTAGTTGCATGCATACAAACGTGTTGAGATAAATAATGAACTTTAATCATTAAAAATAGTTATAAAAGTTCATTTTAATATCTAGAATCAGGGGCGTATTCAGGAATTTGTCCAGGGGGGGGGCTTAGCCCCCATAGCCCCCCCCCCTGAATACGCCTCTGTCTAGAATGATTTATGCAAATTCTTTCAGCTAGAGCCGATCGCTTGTTGGAGATTTTCTTTATTTTGATTGTGAAGACGACATTTTAAAGAAATCTGCGAATAGAGTTATAGAAACAGCAAAGACGATGATAATAATGAAATAATCGATTCTACGGTTCTACGTTGGCTTTCACATCGATAATTTCTTTAAAGAAATTTGTTCCTAAACAGCAAATTAGTCTAAACAATAATGTGTTTTACAAGTTCTGTCAAGTTTATTAAATAATTGCAAAAAACGTCTCTCCTGCTGATAAGAACAACTGTTGAAATATTACAAACACGACTTAAGGCTCTTATTTAAAAATTGTTGGCCGTAAAAATATCTAATTGGTATCAAATGAATGCTAAAGCTTTGTTCTACAATACTGCACTCTCAGCTCAACTACCATGTCTAGCCGGTCTCTCCCTTTTAGCCCTAGTAAATTGGGCATTGCTATCTTTTATGAAAAGTCATTTGAAAGTTTACAGTACCTTTGATATAGATCTTAGAAGAATGGAGGGGGGGGGAGGGGGGGGGGGGGTTGTAACAAGTTACAAAATACGTAGATAAAGGAAAATGAATCCGAATCCTTTTCATAAAATTTGTTTGAAAATGAATACTCAAGATGAATAACAAAGATGAAAGGAAATTTATAAGAGGATAATCCGAATCCCACTAGTGGAGTACCTGTGTCGTTAAACAGGAATTCATGTTTTCAGAATTATGAACTTGCAAGGGGTTGTAAACTTTTTTTTAATTAACCCTCCATTTAAACCATCTAAACCTCTATTTCAATAGCAATGATTTAGCCTTCATTAAATATCCTCCACAAAAAATGACGCCTCTAGCTCCTGTAAAGGGAGATTTGTCCAAAACCCCTTTCTAAACCGAATGAGCGGAATTGTATAACAGTAAATTAAGTAAAATTCAATGCAATACCTTAGAAAAAGTTAGCAACAAAGTACATCTTCGAGACATTTCATAGGTCTGAAGTTTTAGGCTAAAAAATCAAAAGGGATTGAAAAACTTGCCAGTTGATATCCTACCTCCAGAGCATCGACAATTTACCCCCCCTCTTACTTTTGTCGAAATCTTTCTTAATAGAGAGAAAAGTAATTAAGTTACCTTAATGATATCCAGCAATGAGGAATAGTTACAAAGTATCCAACAGCACAGATAAAGAACTGGTACGGACCAAAATCTCCGATTGTCTGAAGAATCGGATCTTTTCCAGATTCCTCATTATTCTTGTCATTTATCATCAGATTCTCATCATCGTCCTCGTCATCTTCTTCTCCAAGAAGCTCTTCTCTCTCAGCAACAGTCATTTTAAGAGAAACAAAGAGTTTCTGAAATATTCATAATTAAATATATAACAATTACAATCAACAGAGCTGACGGCGAAAATTTTATGAGAACGCTCAACTGCAGCCGAGAAATTTTTAAGGGTTAACGCTGAAAATCGGAGAGTATATAGTATACATGTTCATCTAGAGTTAACCTGGGTGAATTTTGTACACCATGCCACTAGCTTTACAACATTTAGATATGTAAAATCTGTCCAAAATTGTATCTTATTCTAAAATTTCTACCACAAGGTCATTAGATGAACCTAAATGTCAATGAGGAAGTTTGACCTCTGGAAGAAAGTATATTATTGAACCGTAGAGAGGAGATGAAATGTACAGATTCAGATATAGACTAATTTTTGCTTCAAATCAAATAGGGCCAGGGATTGTAAAACAGCTCCCTGATGTAAAATCAAATCATACTTTGATGGGATGGCTTAAGGCTTTTAAATTCGTTCTTTATAAGGAATAACATCCTTCAAATCTTTAAGATTTAGTTTAGAGATTTCATTGTCAGCTCTCATCAAAGGATGAGGTAAGTTCAGGGGAGACTACTTCTTATTCGCTTGCTTTGTGATAACAGTTAGCTTCTTAATAAGGAAAATTGCTCACTTAAACTACATTGGAAGATGTAAGGGGATGCCGTCACAATCCCTGCCAAGAGAATAATTATCAAATTTGTAATAGAAAAATGATATAAAATGATTTTAATAAAATGTACTCCAGTGGAAAACATAACAATATGTCTAAAGAAATTATTAGTTTTAATCATCTTTGTCCTTTCCATAGAATTGCTCGGCTTTAAAAATAAACTTGGATAAAGTAAAGTTAGTAACACAGTTCAAGATCAACTTGAAATAGAGAAAAGTTTGAGAATCATGAATCGAAAACTTGAAACATTTTCCACTTCTGCAACTTACACAATTTTTGGAATACACCAAAATCAATATTTTCTTTAAGTACATTCAAGAGATTGAGAAGGAAAAATTGCTTTAAATAAAATAACTAATAATTTGTACAAAAAAATCAATAAATTTGTTGTACTTCGTTGTCAGGAATTTCACTGTATGTACAATAGATATAATTAGATAAAATATGATATAACTGTCGAGTTAGATTCCATGATACCCAGGAGGAATAGGAATTCTGTATAAATTCTCCCTAGAACAAAAATAAAAACTTAATTATTATGAGATAAAATCGTTTGAATTTAGAAAAAGTTTATTTAAAAAATATATTCCAGTGGACTAGTCATATTTTTTGTAAAAATAAACATAAAAGTTTAGTTTGTTAAAATTCAAAGGATCTGCGGTTGTAAATAATAATTTCCAATATGCATTATCGACGAGAAACCCATTTGTTTTAAATCAGACAGAGCTTTTAAAAGGACTGTAAGGGAAATTGACCCTCCATTAAAAAATGGCAGAGTTAGAAAAACGACGATATCTTCCACATTTTTGAACAGATTAAGGTTACATGGTTGCAGTAGTAAATCGGGCATTGCCATCTGTGCTTAGAGTGTCACTTTGAATTAGGATTACGGTTGATATCCTATATGTTGTAATTAAGGATAAAGTTCCATTTAGGAGTAGTTTGTACATACCTTTCAATTTGCACAGGCTGTACGCTGTGCTTTAGATCTCCTACGCATTTATGATTCCTACGCGTCGAGAGATGTTTAAACTTCTGATCACATTTAGAGCATCCGTAGGGTCGCTCCCCTGTGTGAATACGCAAATGCGTCACCAGCTGATGCTTGACGGCAAACATGCGTCCACAGTGTTCACAGCTAAATGGTTTCTCTCCTGAATTTAATATTTTAAATTTTTACGAAAAATATTTAATATAAAAATTAACTTAAATAGAATGATTTGAAAAAAAGTAATATTAATTAAGTCGTGTGACATACCTGACATAGTTTGCACACAGTGCTGGTATCAGAATCGATCATTTCAATCAACTATAAATAAACAAGACCTGTATGGACTCGAATATGGTTTTTAAGCTGTTGAGAACTCATGAATCGTTTAATACAGAAAGAACAAGAATACTTCTTCTCTCCTCTGTGTCTCCGCTCGTGGGTATCTCGTATATGTCGGCGTCCAAACTGTTTACCTAAAAAGTTACGTTTAAAGGGACTGTAGATGAATTTTAAGTAATCCACCATCAGAAAACTGTTTCGTTCATAACGGTACCCTTTAAACCGTTCTGAACAACATTTCGTCATTTTTTTTTCTGGGTAAGTGTTGGGCTATAAAAACAATGAAATCTCATTCATCTTTGGTAAGACAAACAAATGTTTCAGTGTACCGTTGTGAATCAAATATGCCTTCATAATAATCTAAATATAAACTTACCGCAGACTGAGCACATGAAGGGTTTAAGGTCTGAATGTGATGAAATGTGGCTGTCCAAGGTATCTTTACGGTTAAACGCTTTCTCGCAAATATCACATTTAAAAGGTTTATCTCAAATTCAATGCAATACCTTAGAAAAAGTTAGCAACAAATGGGGGGGCATAAATTAACATTGCCCCTTCTCGATAATGTTTTACATAAATGAAATGGAAATACTCGTGTCCCTTAAACGAGAGAAGAAATTTATATTTAGAGACAACAATCAGGAAGGATGGGCGAGATGTTCAAAAATAAAAGAAAACATCCTTGAAAAATATGTCCACTTAAAAAGAAACCTACCCCGAACTCTGTTGAGGATGGTTGAGGTTGAGCTGTAGTCTCCCAATATCCTCCAGTCCTGTCGTACTTCTCCAAGAGTACAGCAGTCTTGAAGTTGAGCGGAGGATCAGGATTATCAATGTTCTCATCCCAGTCCTGCATATCAAGCAGCTCAGCCTTGTGATTCTCTTGGACGTGATTCAGGTACTCTTCCTCGGACATTATCTAGAATTAAACCAAATTCTAAACTTTAAAAATAAAAGAATTTTGTGAGGAGCATATTTTGGGACATTAAAATTTAACCAATAAGTTAGAATTAAAAAATTATTTTTTTTTAAACCGTGCGCCCTATATCGATCGTTAAAAAACACTAACATTTCATCATATCAAATTCATATCTTTTAGTTCTTAGCAAGACTACAAATATATTTTAACCACTCAAACCACTCAAAATATGTGAAATAATTGGAGGCTAACTTCCTTTAATCGGAGAAAATGTCCCAAGCCATGCTATAAGTAATTACCTTTCTAACATAACAAGATTGAAACGTCGAAGGGGTAATAAAGTCACAGATTTAAAAAGTTTTGCCCTATAGAGCTACAAAATAAAAAACTTCTTTATTAAACGAATTAAATTAAATTTGACATTAATAGAAGAAATATCCGTACCTGAGTTTTACAAGCATGACAGGTGGCTTTGTTTTCCACCCAGGAGAGAAGAAGCCACCTGCTGAGGGGCATCCGGATACTAGGATCTAGGACCAGGTTAGGGTGGGTGTTATTCATGTGCTCCTCCATGTGTGAAGGATCCCGGTTCTGCCCGATAACCTATTGTTTCAGGGGTGTATGTATTATGTATATGCTATATTTTCTTAAAAATCGATTTTTTTCTCGATATTATATTCATCGAGGAAATCTTTGCTAAAAAGAGGAAAATAAATTATTTTGAGTGGGAAATTTATTAATGTTTTGATTAAAACTTCTTAAGAATTAAAAAGGGTGAGGAAACTTTACAGTTGATTTCCAATTTATCATTAATCTTCCCCAAAATTTATATTTATGTGGTCCAGGGGAGGTCAAGTTACTGTTCACACCAAAAAAATATTTATTCCGCCAATTAAGCAGAAGAAGTATAGAAAAGAAGATTATACCTGACATAGTTTGCACACAGTGCTGGTATCAGGTTCTACTGTGAAGAAGCTGGATAGGTAGAAACTAGGCGGGGCCCGGGACTGCTTCTCTAGCAGTTTACTTCGAACAGTCGCAAACCGAACCTTGAAGGGAATGTTTCCGTAATTTCAAGTGACCTACCATTTGCAGATTGGCATGTAGTATTTTTTGTAATATTTACTAATTTAATAATTCAAAGAAAATTTACAAAAAAAATATTTTATGGGGTTTCCAATAGGTCAAAACTTGAGATTCTAGAGCAAAAACTTTCCCTAGTATATCCAGATTGGCGGTTCAGGGATAGAATTTTTTTTTTATAAATTTAAGAAAGGTCGTCTAACTACCAACAGCGGTTCAAGTTTGTAATCACCAATTCGAGGTTAAAGATACTTGAGGATTTGAATCGGCGATAGGTAGTTCAGTAACCTCTCGTGTTCATTACATTCCGGTCCCTGCATAACTTTCAATCCTTGGCACTACGGAAAAAAACCTACCTTAGCTGCGTCCTCCCATATCTCGAAATGATTGGTATAGTTGTGTTGCAACGTTTTCCTTCTATCGTATGTTTCTGAGCAGAATTCACACATCACCATTTCAACCTTCTTCTCAGCCAACTCCTCAAAATCTCTAACAATCAAAATTGATTAAAAAATTCTACTTAATTTATATGGTGAGTGAAACAATATAATAATGGCAGGGTATTGTGTTACAAGCTTTCCCTTGCGATTGATGAGTAAAACCATAACATACCACTCTGCTGAAGTTTTGATATTCATTTCTACAGGCTTTACAGCTGTAATTTCTCCCACCAATTTGGCATGCAACTCATTTAATGCTGGCTCTGGATGGTTTAATTAGTCAGAGCGAACCTTTTGATATCTTCAACGGCTGAACTCGATTTCCACTTTTAAATTGAAGTCTTTAACGCCTCATTCAGAAAAGTTGTCGAGCTGTCAAAAATGAGACTTTGATCGTATCAGGTTAAAACGTCAAAGAGAAACGAACCGTTTCCGGAATGAATTCAAGTGTATTAGATACAAAAAAAAAACGTTTCCGCTTCTGACTACTTTGATTAATGATTGCTTACTTGAACTGGTCTGGATGGGATTTCTTGAGATGATAAATCAATAGCGAAGTTGAACCCTGATCCATAGATACAACTTCTCTACACTGTTTACACTGAGCTCCGCCACCATCCACTAAAATCTCAAAATAGGTCCAAACCTTGCTCCGCCGTTTCTTTGTCGAGTTCTACAAAATAAAGGTATTTAAGAAAATAAATATCTACAATTTAAGCTTCCCCCTCAAATATAACGATTTTGAAGGTACTTAGGAAAAAATTATGACTTGAAAATTTGTGTTTTTTTTATCATTAAAAAATGTCAGATTGACTCACCAACTTTTTCTTCCTTGGTCCCTTGACCAAACTACTGGAGGTGCTGAGTATATTCTCTAGATTAGTTCCTGAGGAGAACTCAGTAAATTCCTCTCTGCTAGAACACTTAGATTCCTTGATCGCCTTAAGAACATTTAATGGTACTAGTTCATATATTCTCTAGATTTATTCCGAAGAGAACTTAAAAAATTCCTCTCTACTAGTTCACTTAGATTCCTTGATCGCCTTAACGACACAATATATATTAGTATATTCTCTAGATTTATTCCGCGAAGAACTTAGTAAATTCCTCTCTGCTAAAACACTTAAATTCCTTGATCGCCCGGACAGAATATAAGCTATCTATATATAAATTTGGCTTGTCTGTTTGTTAGTATCCAATAAACGTCAAAAATACTTAACCGATCGAGCCCAAATTTTTTGTTGGACCTCTCGTGATCCCAAGGAAGGTCTACGGATGATCGAATTTTTAAAAATTTGCCTCCAACAAAATTAAAGGGGATGGTGAAGTTGGCACATTTTTGGTTCAAATCTTCCAATTTTTTGGGTGCACGTCTAATTAGTGATCAAAATTCCTAAAATAAAATCAAATTGAATTTTAATGACCTCTAATGACCTCCATAATTTTCAGCCAGAAAGATAAAGATATCTACGTTATTCTTGATCAGTGCTTAGGATCCATTTAATTTTGATGCGGATCCGGATCCGGATCTGCACTAAAAAAATGAATCGATCCAGGTTACTTCTTTAAAATTTACTGGATTTTTTTTAGTGTTGACGTACGTAAATTATTTCTATACAACTAGATAAATTTGCTTCCTGAAGGTTAGAAATATATTTTGATGAACAGAAAACAAATACCGAAGTTTAAGAGGAAAATGTCTGCTTCAAATGAGTTAAGAAATATTTGAAAAGGAATTTTCACTGAAAATAGAATACTACAGGATTCAAATTTCTTAACAAAAAAATTCTAAATAAATTCTTAAAATCCGCGGTTCTTTCCACAGGGGTAAAATGATTTTCGATAAAAGTTAAACATTAAAACTTTTGACCCCAAAAATCACGGATTATTCCCAAAAATCAATTAATTATACCCAACTCAGCGAATAAAGCTGCAAGAAAAATATTTTTGCTCCGCCCGAACATCCTCAACAACTCGAGAGAAAAAAAGATTTCTGAGCAAGAGGGGAGGGTGATTTTTCAAGAAAATAAATTTCCTTGGAAAGTAGAACCTACTTCCTAGTAATTATTCTAACTCCACATTCTTAGATTCCCTCCCTCACGTGGTTAAAGTAGAACCAGATCTTGCTTCGTCGTTTAGACTTTCTAACTCAGAATTCATATTTTAGGATCTAAATTCTCAGGTTTACCAACATAGGGTCAAACGACCCAGGGTCCAACGTCATAAGGTCAAACGACATAGGGTCAAACAACAAACGGTCAAAAACGCGACAAAGGGTCAAAATTATTGTATTATTTCAGGGTTAAGTTAGGTTAAGACAATTTCTGGACCGAGCACTGCGGCTAGGACAGGCTAGGGTGCCGCCGCCGCACTGCTTGTTCTAATGAACATTAACCAAAAATAGTCTAAATGCAGTTTTGCCCGTTTGATGCACTGTTTGAACCTAGGTCGTTTTACCCTATGTCGTCTGACCCTTTGTGGTTGAATTAACTTTTAACAGGTCTGTACTTTTAAATTCATAATCTATTTATTAGGTTCTTTCCCAAAGGCTTTTTCCCAAGGGTATTTACTTAAGTGGCAACTTCCCAACTGTGCAATTTCCCAAGCGGCAACTTTAGAATTAGTCCGTTTCTCTATGCACCCGACCTCTAGTTTAATATTACGAAGATATGAATCTAAGATTTTTAACAGGGGTTAGTAAGTTTAAGTAAGTTAACGGAATTGATTGGCAGCAAATCAATAATTTGGGAGACAAATCTCATTAATAAATAAAGATCTTCCAACAGATTATATGAGTTCGTGACAAAAATGTGTTTTAAGTTTAATAATATGAAAGCTTTCGTTCCTTTTTCTCGGGACTTCTTCTTCATCCTCTTCATCAACACTTTCTTCGGCCTGAACAGTTGAGAATAAGAATTAACTTCAAGTGGCATGTCCGATTCAGAATGGTTCCCTTAAACAATGAGGAAAATATCGTATTTTTTTAAACCTTGTAAAATTTCAACAATTTCCTATTATGTTTCAGTAGCAAAAATCCGTAAGTAAAGATTAAAAATTTCCATTGTGACTTGGACGCTCAATTATATTTAAAGAATGATCACTCACATCTAAAATACCTCTTAAGGGGCAACAACCACCAGTAGCGTTCTTTTTTTAAAAATTTGCAAAGACTTTTAAAAGGGACCAAAAAATAATTTTCCAAAAAAAAGTTCCAACATTTCTAAACTGTCTTCTTCATAAGAATAGACTTAAAGTAAATTATGCAAAAACTAGTATCCTAAGAAATTTTTTTGGTGGAAAATAAATGAAGTTTTTTTTAAGTAAAAGACGATATAATTATAACCTGTTGAAGGACATCTGGTTGCAGGATATCATTGTCCCTGGTAGACTCAAACTCTTCAAACAGTTCATCATGTTTACTCCTGAAAATTATTATCCATACAAAAACATCTTTCACCCTTGATCATACATAAAATTACGTTTAGTTCTATAAATTGTGATCAATACTATGATAACATTCTTCTTTCAACACATCTTTTAATTTGGTCTCATGTTAAAAAATAGAAAAATGAACATCTTTTTTGCTTTCTAATAAACTAAATGATATATAAAATTACATTTAACCTTTTTTTACAAAAGATTTCTTAGTGCTCTTTCGGTCTCTATACAAAAAAAAAGAATCCAATCAAAAATTGATTTTTTTTCGTGTTGATTTAACAGATTTCAGCATAAAAGTACGATATTTTAGAGAAGTGTCAAAATTGGCCGCTGGATAGATTTGTGGCGCTAGCTGCAAATAATTAGATAATTTTACTTACTTGAGATGATAAATCATCTGTGTGGTTGAGCCGAGGTTAACTTTAACCTGCACTCCACAATCTGTACAGGAGGATAGGTTTTCATCCACACGGGTAAAATAGTTCCAAACCTACACCAATTAATTAGATACAGGGGGTCCAGAAAAAAAACTTAAAAATGCATAAAAAGGCTCCAAATAAAAACCCATTTCCTGGGACAGGCGGCATTAATATAAAATTTTTGCACGATTAATAATATTTTCTCCACCCGAATCAATCATTTCAAACTAAACAAACCCAACGTTATTTCTCCTGAGGTCAGATTTAATAATTAGTGAGAAATAGTTTTTTCAGGTATGAAAAGTTAAACTGCTTCTCAAATGCATTCTCAGTCATACAATATTCATCAGTCCGTCCAATAATCGTACTTTCTCGCTTTTCATTAAATCAGACAAAATCTCTTTAAAAAATAGTGTCGGCTTTGAGACAAGATTTTATGAATAGAGGTACATAGTTGAACCTTGTAGACTGACTTAAACATATTGTACGCGGGGTCAAGCTGAAGATAAGTGATTTAACTTAGCCCAGAGAATTATAATGTAAATATAGTTATTTCGGAGGTGTACGCATTTTTAGTACTGCAGTGTCCTGTCTCTGGGTGGTAAAGTAAACACAAGACGGATGTTCCAGCCAGGTATGGGATCCATCTTTCATATAAAAACCAAGAAAATATTCTGTTCATAAGAAACTATTACGCGAATTATCAAAATTGTCAAAATTAAATGCTTTTATGTACCTCGTATACTAGAGTAACACTATTGCTTCTAATCTTGTTTACAAATACTGCTCAGAAAGAACTGGTTTCAATATGAACGAAGAGAATACGCAACCGCAATTAACTCTCCTTGCCATATTATCTTGACTTAGCCTATCTGGTTCAACTATTTTTCTCAATTTATTAAATCTGCCACCTGGGACATAATTTTAATAAATTCATTCCCTGGTCCCTAAATATGATTATTGATTACCTTACTCCTTTGTTTCTTCCGTTTTCCTTCACTACCCCCTTCCTTTCCACTGGTCAGTTTCTCTAGTTCTCTAGGGTGGGAGGAGAAATGTTCAACCATCATCTCCTCCTCCGCTTCAACCACCTCGTCACACAGAGTACAGGTGTAGAACTTGAGCCCCTCCTCCTCCTCTTCCTCCAGGGGGATGAAGTAACGCTGTAACCGAATCATCAACATTTTCTCATCCTCGTTTATCTTAACTATACATGCCAGTAAGAGATCTATCGGGGTTTGGGCACCATTTAAGATTAGAGTACAATTTGTCTCCTTAAAGAAAGTAAAATCCTGTATCGTTTCAGTTTACCTGGGGTTATATTAATTCCAGAATAACTAGTCTCCTCAAATGAATCGTCTAAACCAAGCATAATATCGTCCGGCTCTTCCTTCACTGTCGACGAATGACCAGGTGGTGGGGAGCTGGGACTGAGCGTGTTGACCGGAGGATTGTCGAGCTTGAGTGAGTGCGGAATACAGTTTGGAGATATTTGAAGCTGGGTCAACACACTAGTGCACTCTGCAGACGGTGTACCACCTTCAAAAAAAATATATTGACCTTGTAAGAATAGGATTAATTCAAAGGGAAACTTTTGCGAGACTCTCAGATCCAATTCTTGTTTTCCTGAACCCTGAACAAATTGACAGATTTTGTTTATTTTGACAAAATCTCAAATTATACTACCAGAAGCGAAATTTAAAGAATTTGAACCGCGTCGTGAACCGCTAATAAACGGTTCCATTTGAGTGCCGGTTTAAATCTTCAAAACTTCAAGCTGAACCAACCATGTTTAAACTGCGTTTAGACGCGGTTTACATTCTTTGAATTCGGCCTCAGAAGTTAGAACTTTAGCATATATTTTAATCTTGTGTACACCTAAGGATAAATTTATTCCTATTCGACCTATTCGATATCTCTGATGGGATAACTACAATTGAAGGATTACATTGGATAAAAGGATCAAGATTTCAAGCTCAACGATACGCCCCATAAAAGTTTAAGAAAACTTAATGAATCTATTTTTGAACCTTAAAACGTGGATATCTATTAATTAATTCATTCTAGATTTTAAGATTACCATTGTAAATCGGTCTGACCTTGGTAAATAATGTTGACTATCTGAATAAGAAGGTCAATGGTTGTATCTTCTACGTATATATAAATCAAATCAACATCATCATTGTCCGTCTGCATCAAACGAGCCAACAGTGGACTTACAGCAGCCAACAATAATCTAATAAAAGAAATTGTTAAAAATTAACTTGAATAGTTCTCTAATAACATTTATCCCAGAAGTAATTTTAAAAAGAGACTTGGAGATGTTAGCAGCAAAGAATAGCAAGAAAAATGAAGAAATATGTTTTTAAGTGCTCACATTGGGTATCAAGATCAGGCGTTTAAATGATATACAATACTCTAACCTATGAGTTGGAACAGTTCCGTTTCCGCAGCAAAGGAGTGCATCGAAGGGAACCAATTCTTGAAACACCTGAACAATAGAGGACATTTGGCATTAGATCTCTCTGTAGACATAATTGTAAGTGCCCCTCCGTGTCAGATTTACAACGGTACGCTATACAAGCTTTTTTTCTGGTCAAGAATGAATGAGATATCCATCATTCAAACAAGGAACAAAAAATCAGTTTTAAACCTAGATACTTCAATATCATTCAATTAATTGTCAGATAAAGGGCTTAAATTATACTTTTTAAAAATGAATTAAAAATAAAAAAGAAAGTCTCGATAATCTATCCAAGAGTCCTAGACAGTAACTAAAAACGTGAAGTTCAAAGTTACCAAAAAAAAAATTAATCAAATTTTTAACTTATATTAACACGCGAATCTAATCAACTAAATTTGTTTATTGTTTACAACTAAAAAACAAATTTAGATCTTCAATAACCAACATTTTCGCGGAATTTACTGTTCAACTTGATAAATATAAAAAAATCAATTACGACTTAATATTTTAATTTTCTCTAGGTTTTTGAGAGTTATAACTAAAATCGAGCAAAACATATAAATATATATTGTTAACCTTGAATATACCTGATTCGACATAAAGTTGAGAATAGCTTCCCTTGGTTCATCACTAACTCTGATCGATTTAGAAATATTCTCGTCCTTGTCGTCAATATTTAAGAAGTACCGAAATGAGATACCCTTGTTTTTTATCTGATATTTTATTTTCAACTGTGGTATCTCTGCAGGAGTGATTTGCGGAACTATGTTATCCAAATACGATGAATTAAATTGTCAGAAACTAACACTTCAGTTAGTAAAACAATGATATGTCCATCTTTGTTACTCAGATAAGGGAAAAGGTTACTGAGCGTTGTGACTCCGACAGTGTGAAGAGGAGGGTCACTTGAAATTATGTCAAAAGTTTCTGAAAACTGCCTTTGTCCATTTTCAGATTTGCTTTCAGCTATATACACAACCTTTTATAAACACATGATACTTGAAAACTTGAACGATTGCTGAAAATATTGCCAATTTTAATTTATTTTTTTTATGATAAAAGTTGATTATAAATGCTCGGCCGATTAAAAATCATAAGAAGAATGGGGACAGTAACTGATAATCTTCTGGAAGTTCTGACAAAGGAAAGAGTTAAAAATGATATGTTTTTAAATATTATAAAATCAGTGCTCCCCCCCAACTCCTGTTTCAAATTTTCGTTATCTCTGAAACGGGGAAATAAATGGTTTGATGGGGAAATTTTAATTTTGGTTCGAAGCATCATGAGTCAGCGAGGGGAAGAAACATGTTAGAGAACTCTTAATTTTTTGATAATCATTTCCTGATGTTCACAATTCTATAAAGTATAAACCCCTCTACTACTAAAAAAAACTCCTCCATTTTAAGATTCGTTTACTTATTTCATAAGAAGATTAAATTCAAAATTTATAAAATGACCGTTTGTTCCAAGTTTTTGTGTGAAAATATTGATAATTGATAATTTCACAGTTTTTAACTATCCCTCCCCTTTAATTAAAATCATTTAACAGCATTTATGTATAGAGAGATGAAATATATAAATCAGCAAGTGCAGGTACTGTTTTACATTATGAAAAATCGAATATAGATTATCGCCAGAGTTAATGTTTAGATAACAAATTTGAGTTTCCTAGGGCAAGTAATAAGAACAAGAAAGATGGAAAAAAAAACTTGCCTTTTAATGTCCAAATCCAATTATTCAGTTTTTTTTACAGATCTTCATAATTCATTCAGATAATTAGTTTAAGGGTGTCCCAAAAACGCTATTTTAGATACTACGACTCTCATAGTTTGATTTTTATATTTTTTCAGAGTTTTGAAAAATAAGCAACATTTACGATGGTAAACAAGAAGACGTCTAAAGCACAAATTTGAGGAAGTTATGATCGGAAATGTCCAATTGAACCATGCTAAGAGCCGTCTTACCCAAAAGTGTATTTTTTTGTGACACCCTTTATGTATCCTAGAAAAGCGAGCTGTCAATGTACCCAGATTAGTGGCTGTGTCTAAAACTAAACCCGTTGAATTAATCCTAGAAGCCTATACAGCAGGCCAGAGATGTTTCGGGGAGAATTATATTCAGGTTATTCTAGAATATTTTCATAAGAAGTCAGACATTTTGAATGGTTAATTTTTTAGAGAGCACTAATCCGAATGTTTTGTATCTGACGGATTAAATTTAGAAACAGAGAACTCTGGAATACTAAAACTACTTTTTTACTTTAAATGGTCCAATGAACAGCAAATTCAGTGTAAACAGACAGATTTAATTTAATAAGTGATTTTTTTAATCTACTAGATATATAAAAGTAATACTTTTTGCTTTTTAACATCATCAAATGCACCTAATTTTTGCTTTATTGGTGTCTTTTTATTCCATAGTTTTCTGGTTCACATTGTAAGTGAGAAAATATGAGAAAAGTGTCTCCGTCTCTAAAAGTACGGAAGCATATGAGTTGGCCATATTTTACGGATTAAGTTCTTAATCTCTTCAAATTAAAAGTTCCGGCCACATAGCAACATTATTATCATTATTTAACTTTTTATTGGTTCTAGGCAAAAAATAAACGATAACCGAAAAATAAACAGTAAAAAAATCACAAGGTTTCGTATACTTAGGAACATGACTGTTGATAAATCAAAACAGTTAACTTAACTCAACCGACCTAAACCCCTTCAAAATTTAGATTTTTCTGTATTTTTACGAATTTTATTAATTTTTCTTTTTTTTTCTTTTTAAGGAGATATCTGAGAAGTCCTCTAACCCTGAGCTACTAGAGAAATGTCCGGATATAAAATGGCATTTTATTGGGAACTGTCAGACAAATAAGGTAACATTTAAGCCAGGTTTATGATAAGATTATTTAAGTTTTCTTATGTATACTAGGCTAAGTTTCATGATGTAGGGGATACATTTTATTGTATACGTATGGCTAAGTTTTACTATTTACAGACAAATTTTTATTATTTATAGGCCAAGTTTTATTATGTATAGGCTAAGTTTTATTATGTATCAGCTAAGTTGTATTTTGTATAGGCTAATTTTTATTATGCATAACGGGGCCTCTTTTTCAGATTTCATTTCATTTCAAATTAGTTCAAATAGGCAAAGTTTATTATGTATTAGTTAATTCGTATTATGTATAGGCTAAGTTTTATTATGCATAGGCTAATTTTTATTATGAATAGGCTAATTTTTATTATGTATTATCTCAGTTGTATTATGTATAGGCTAAGCTGTATTATGTATAGNTCAAGCTGAATTAGATAGAAACTTCTATCATCAAGCTGAATTAGATAGAAACTTCTATCATCAAGCTGAATTAGATAGAAACTTCTATCATCAAGCTGAATTAGATAGAAACTTCTATCATCAAGCTGAATTAGATAGAAACTTCTATCATCAAGCTGAATATGTATAGGCTAAGCTGTATTATGTATAGGCTAAGTTGTATTATGTATAGGCTAAGACGTTAATGAGTTGTCCCAATTTAGCAGTAATAGAAACTATTACCTCAGAGAAACTGGCCAGCAAGCTCAATGCACAGGTATATTTATGTGAAGCGAGAAATAGGCTTTGAAATTATGAATGCACCTTGAACTAGCTTTGAATTGGTCTTGATGAAATAGTGTGGAATAGGGCATGAAGTTGGCGTGGAATGGGTATTCAATAGTCTTTCCATTCTGCGGAGTGTATGTTAGTTCTGGCTATTGTTATATTTTAGCCATTCCACGTGATTGACATTTTATTGTTTTTTTAAGGGATGGGAATATGTGAGGTTTTTTTTTTTTTGATAAGCCTTTGCCATTAATCATTCTATCAAAAGTGGAACCATTAAGCATAATACAGCTTTCGTTGGTTTGATTTTTATATTTTTGGGTGTTTTCAAAATCAACCTATAAACAATTCCGATCAATGACCACAAACCATGGATTTGTAGCACAAAATTTAATGATATTATGACAAACTTAAGCTGTCATTATTGCTTCAATTTTTGTGCTATAGAAATTTGATAAAGTTTTTTAAAATTTAAAATATAACCATGAAAAGAGTAAAGGAGCATGTTTGAGACAGTTTGTGTATTTCAGGGAGGGGAAAGGCCTGTGTCTGTGATGGTTCAGATAAACACATCCGGGGAAGAGAATAAAAATGGTCTAGGTAAGTTTCTCTGTGGTCAAATCGAAAATGTTTCGTTTAAGCGAAACATTTTCTCTTTTTAAAAATGCCAACTAAGACATTTGAAAATGACCANACTTCTATCATCAAGCTGAATTAGATAGAAACTTCTATCATTATAGTAGAAAACTGTCCCTTTAAACATGTAATTGTTCAGATGTTGCTGGAGGCGTGCAGTGTGCCAAGTTTATAGTAGAAAACTGTCCGAAACTAAAGCTTATCGGTCTCATGACTATTGGAAACCTCGGGAACAGTATCCAAGCAAATGATAAGGTAAAGAAATATTCCAAAATTTTCTATTAAAAAAAAACTTTTACTTGTATCCGGATCTATCACTTGATTTTGATGCAAATTTAGATCCAACTATATAGCCAAAACTTTTAAATCTGACATCTTTGTGTGGAGATCGGAGGTTTACTTGAAATTATGCTTGCATTCCTTTTTAATCTAAAATATTTTAAGGGAGAAAACCCTGATTTCCTGAAGTTGATCGAGGTACGGAAATTGGTGGCGGAAGAATTGAACCTTGATGAACACCAGCTGGAGTTGTCTATGGGAATGTCAAATGATTATGCTGAAGCTATCAAGTAAATGTTTATCTAAAACTATTGTGTGTGTGTCCCCCCCNCCATCTATTGATAAAATCTCACCATGCTTTTACTATATTTGCTTTAAGAATTATAAGTTTAAAGAAATGAGTTTTTAAAACATCAAATTTCCATTAATAATTGTTGGATAAGGGATTCATGAATTATTTAGTGAATTGTCTTTCACTTAAAAAGACTTTAGATGTAATTTAAAATGAGCCTCTTTGTATAGTGGCATGACAAATTCATAACGGTTCCACAACCGTTTTATGTGATCGTGAACGAATGAGATATCCATGTTTTTCCCTTGCGGATTTATGCTATAAAAACATTGGATGGGAGAGAATTGTCGGTTTTTACACGATATCTTCCACAAACTACGAAAATTTTATAATTTTATGAATTTGAGTCAAAAAAGCAAAAAAAAATTACATCTGTTTATCGTTAACCCGGTAATCATGATCTTAAATATTAAAAATTAAAAATTAAACATCTAATTTTTGTTAAGGATGGGAAGCACGAATATTAGAGTTGGGAGCAGTATCTTCGGGGTGAGAAATGCCAAGAGCAGTCAGGATTCAGCACAGTCGCAAGCAGAGTCCAAGATGGAACAGTTAAAAATATAAAATTGATTTTCATAAATAATTAAATAATTGTCACTTGTAATTAACATAATAGTGCCCTTCCGTGTGGATCCAATGTTATAGCAGATTGTTTTACTTAAAAAGTTCCACATTTTGATCTTAAACAAATATCTTTTTTGGAAATTTTTGAATAGAAATAATAAAATTTTCAGAATTTATTTAGAACTAAAATTATCCACAAATTGTATGTAATTCATATTAAATAATTTTTTCAAATATTATAAACCATTACACAGTATGGTAATTTAGTACTTGTTTAGTATTTAGTTTATAGTAATTAAACAAGAAATTAGGATCAGGTGAAACACTAAAAATAAAGCTACCATAAATAATAAGCTGCTTTGTTAGGATCAGGTAAAACATTAAAAATAAAGCTACCATAAATAATAAGCTGCTTTGTTGCTTTGTTAGGATCAGGTAAAACACTAAAAATAAAGCTACCATAAATAATAAGCTGCTTTGAAATGATGATAAGACATGAAACCAAGCTGAATTAGATAGAAACTTCTATCATCAAGCTGAATTAGATAGAAACTTCTATCATCAAGCTGAATTAGATAGAAACTTCTATCATTTGTTAAAATAAACCATTCATAAATTTTATCCATGGTATTATTATTTTTGATTGTATGTTTATAATTCTGAAACGTAATTCTTTCCAAGTTAAAATGTTGATCAGAGCTGGGAACTTAGTGTTGAATAATTAATACTCATAATCTCGATCGCTTCATCTCGACATCCACTGTAGACACTTTTAATTTTAGGATCTATCTTTCCATATCTTCAGTTAAGCTCCTGATCGTAACTTCTTTCAACCCCCTGATTGGGTACGATTACCATGCGGTATATCAAATATAGATTAAGCATTACTCCTATATAGTGTTTCACATTGCATAACAATCCAAAAATTGAATGTATAAATATATATTTTTTGTATAACAAAAAGTTTGAGCAAGGAAGACAAGGCCAAGAAAAATGTATTAAACACTAAACACCAGTTTGATAGATATAAAAATATATATAATATATGTAAGAGGCACTAAATTCGATGGGTATTTTGCTTATTTGATTAATCGTAGCACTGAGGGAAGTATTATGCAAGTGTTTACATATTCTTGTACATTTATCACACAAAGCATATTAACACTGGTAAAACAATATACAATTAACATATTAACAAATTCTGGCCACAATTATTTCACTTTTGACACATTTTCTTCACGAACTGATAAATTTATCTGAATTCGAGCACTTTTTACATGATTTAAAAATTAGGTTTTCAATACATTTCAGCAATTACAGCAAAGCTATAAATATGTTTCATATCTCTGCAAAATTAATAAATAAATCTGTTTTCTTTTTATTCCGTTTAAAACCATAATTATGTAAATATAAAAATAAAACTGATCATCAGTCAAGTGGAATGTTATCTTCTGTTTAAATACTTTTTAAAAATGCATGTTTAACGCACAAAAATTGCGTTAAAAAATTTTAATCCCAAAATACCTAGGATTGCTATAATAAATTAGTAAAAATACACTGTTCCCAAATTCAATGTTTTGCATTGAGCACAGTGTCCACAGTTCCGACCACAGCCCCAGATATGCCGAGGACAATGAGGGTGTAGTTGAACACCTTGTCGTAGCTGCTCAGCTCCGACCTGCAGAATATATTTCAAGTTTAAAAGGTTTGTCGACAATTCTTTTGATGATCGTTTAGCTACGATTACTCTAATTTGAAATTTTGAGGCAACAACCTTAATAAAATATGGCTTGTTGATTTCAACAGCACAGACAGGCAACAAACTGGTTCAAATTAATCTCATTTTAAGTAGGGGAACAGGATATCTTATCCTCGTTAATTTATCAAAGGTTTAAGGTTTAATGGGTTAGTAATGTAAATAATTTCTTACTATCATTATTTAAAGAATCACATAAAATTGTGTCATCAATCCTCTATTTAATCAATTCATTGTTTTATCATAAAAATTTTACAAAAAAAAAGGTAATTAAGGTAAAATTTCATAAATATTAAGTTTTGCTTGAAATAAACACTACCTATCCCCTGGTATCTGTGTTACGTCTAGTTTATTAATTGTTGAAAAAGGGTATATTTATCTATTCTAAAAACTATTTGACCTGAAAATGATGAGATGACAGACAGCTGGTAGGATAAATGCCAGTAGTGTGCAGGAAGAAGCACCAACCAGTGCCATCAGCTCACCAAAATTTGGAACCTTAACAGAATACACTTATTAAAAAAAATCAGTTTTTGGTTAGTTTCATCTAATTTGACACAGATTTGTTAGTTTCAACTAATTTGACACAGATTTGAATTCACTGAATGTTCAGGTCCCTAGTAAAGCATTTAAAGCTTAAATTTGGGTTCTTGAGTGTATCTTTTAATTTCTGAAGGCTCTTTTATCCTACCATTTAAAATAAAATTCGGGAAGAAATCATGCTAATCAAAGTGCTTCATGGTAAATCATTTTTGGAGATCAAGCATTGCTGTTTTTCGTACACTCGGACATATTTAATTTTCTACATACTGTCCACGATTTTTTCATCCCAATAAACTGCAAATTGAATTACGAATTTTCTATTCTGAGATTAAAAAAGTTTTTCAAAAATTACCTTGATAACAATAATCCCTGTTAGGCAGACAATGAAGAACCTTGAAAAAAAAACAAGTGTTAAAAATAAAATATAATTAGGATAGTTAGTTTTCTTTACACAGGTGTAGCATATCCATTACTAGTTCATTACAGGGTGATTGATAAAATGTTTTTTATCTGCAATTATTATATAATAGACATTAAGGATGCGTTGTGCAATTCTTAATGACTAAGAAATATCTCTTTTTATTATTTTTCTTATCTGAGAGCAATTCCCTTTAGTAGATTTTAACCGATAACTTGCCATACAACCATTTCGCTAAATTATGTGTTAACAATTGAGCAGTGTGAAATATGCATATAACAAAATGTTAAGAAATAATGTAACGGCATTTATAAATCCAGACTGGCCTTTAACCATAGATTGAAGTCCCCCAAAAACAATGTAAGGTCCGATCGTTTTTTGCAGTTTTGTCGTTTTTTGGAGATGGATACAAACCCTAAACCCAAATTAAAATTAAATAGATCTGAAAAAATGTTATAATTTATTTAAAGCAAAACTACGTCAGAAAAATCAATGGTTTATCTGAATTAAAATTGTAATTACAATTCAAAATGTCAGATTGTAAAATATAGAGATAAATGTAAAAATATCTGAGCCTGACTGTAAAATGAAGAGATAAATGTAAAATTACCGAAGTCCATTTGTAAAATGAAGAGATAATTGTAAAATGCAGGGATAAATGTACAATTACCTGAGTCTAATTGTAAAATGAAGAAATAAATGTAAAATTACCGAAGTCTATTTGTAAACTGACGTGATAAATGTAAAATTACCTGAGTCATATTGTAAAATGAAGAATAAAATGTAAAATTACTTGAGTCCAATTGTGAAAGTAAGATATAAATGTAAAATAACATGTGTCCTATTGTAAAATGAAGAGATATATGTTCAATTACATGAGTCCTTATTTTTAAAATCAACTCAACCAATCTGACCAGTCATACAAAAACAAAATCAGTCAATCAATTAGCATCCTGTACAGTGTACACGCAATAACTTTGTATTACATAAACGCAACCAATCAATCAAGCATCCTTGAAACATAATTTAATCAATACATTTGTGGATGTGTTGATTATTGATTTATTGATTTTCATACGGGAATACGAGATGAGATCTGAAAGAAGTCCCATTCATATATTGATTCAATTGATTTAATTGATTTAATTGATTTATTGATTTATTAATTTATTGATTTATTGATTTATTGATTAATTGCCTGATGCAAAGACAGCTTTTAACAATTAGAGAAGAGTTGAGTCCGCCTGAATTCGGTAGATTGAGAGTAATTATATCTCTAAACAAAGAAAATTAAGAGGACCGCAGACGTAATTTGAAGTGACCGTCTATTATCAGGATGCATCATCGATTTACCATGTAAACCTTTGCTCTGACAAAAATGATTGAGTTATCCCTTGTATTTTGCATTAAAATTGTTCAATTTTACTTGATAAGACATAATAAAGATTTAAAGGGCATTGCTGTAAATTGGAAGTGCTATTCTGTAAATGGAGGGTTACTTGAAATTACTTCAATAGTATGATATTTATTATTTAACCTATATTTCCATTCAGCCATTTTGTTAAAGATAATAACTCGTAAACTCTAAAAAAAAATCCACGAAATTTTTCACTAATGCTTGTAATGCTTGTAAAAAACGAAAGTTCTAACCTTGTATCATTTCCGTAAGAGAGGTAGCCTGCTGCACCAAATGTAATGTAGAGCGTGGTTATCACTGAAAAAATGATTGAGTATTTATTTTCTTAATTTTGTTAATTCCAAACCAAGGTTTCTAAAAAAATATTTGATCAAATGATAGTCGTCTTCGTCCTTTTTTATGAGATATTGCATAGGATTTGAAAAATAGTAACAATCTTATTTATAAAAATGTGCCTCGTGAATAATAATACATTTTCAGCTACAGTGTAACCTACAAATGACGACCTGGAACTTTTTAAATACAAAGATTTGATGTTGTAATTTTGGGGTCTGCTTAAATACAGTCTTTGAATGGTATATTAAATGGTTTAGCAATGGAGGAATAAGTCTACAGCTGCAGGGAAACATTAAAGAAAAAAACTAAATAACTTCCCTACAGTCATCTTTAAAGTCTCATATTTTGTGGTTAACCTTAGCGAAATTTATCAATTAAAAGAAAGACGGAAAACAATAATCTAGCACCCATCTTTACCTATAATAGTTCTGATAAAGAACTGTTTAAACTTGTCTCTGAGGTCCTCAGCTACAGAGGATTCAAGGGACAGGATCATTCCAGCCCCTAAACATTTATAGAAGTTATGAATCTTGGGATCTCCATCATATGCAGACATTAAATCAAATTAAATTAGGCTGTCAGGTAGTCCTAATATCCACCCCCCAAACTCGAAATTAATTTACTTCAGTGATAGTCTAAATAAGCCGGAATAATGTAAGTCGTTTTGTGACCTTATAGAAATATTTTGTGATATTCAACATTGGTAACCTGATTTTAGAAATTTTTTTTATGAAACAATAATCCAAGAATAGCACTAGTCCTGCCATTTCCAAAATGTGGTCAGCCATTTTTGTGCTTTGACAATTACCGGAAATATGAATGATTTCGTTCAGAATGAGACATTTTCATGGATTTATTTAATTATTTGACATTTGCACTTAATTCTCAATATCTCTGCCACTAACTATATCAAAGGTCAAAGACAACTTTGAAGTATCAATCAATTTACATTATTCAGAGGCCGAATTTAAAGAATTTAAGCCGCGGTTTAAATTTAAGCCGCCGCTCAAATGTGGTTGGTTCCACTTAAATTTCTATTAAATTTTTCAAGATTTAAGCCGGCGGTCAATTAAAACCGGTTTTTGGGGGATTTAAGACGTGGCTTAAATTCATTAAATTCGGACCCCGGCTTATTTAGACTATCGCTGTAGTTCAAGAATGAAGTGAGATCCTTGAACCGTATTAAAGATAGAAATTGAAAGTATTGTCTACTTCTGTGTTGTGAATCTTGGGATCAAGTGTTTATCTCCATTATATAATTTTCTCCATCTTCGATATCCCAAAAACTTTGATTGAGGGATTAAGCATTAGATCTTCAAATTTAAAAGTGCCCACGTAGGAAATAGAGATCTTAACCGTTTAAGATTAATAATACTGCACACATAAGTTCCCGTTCTCAGAATAAAAAAAATAATCATACTACTAATCACAGTAACAGTTAAATTAATAAAAAATTATAAATATTCTAAATTTGACATTGTTAATAACATGGTATTTTCTTATGAAATAATCACCTTCATAACAGTAGATTGCAACAGAGAAGAAGTATGGAAGTCCTTCCAAAGAAAACTCCTAAAATTCAATATTATTTGAAGTATGCGAAATCTTCATGACGGGGGTTGGGGAAAGGGGTAAACCAAGATCTAGTGGTATTGATGCGGGGAAGGGTAAAAGGAATAAATTAGGAGTAGGGAGGGGGAGGACATTCAAATAAAGGGGAGGGGTGAAAAGTTCTTTGTATAAAAATAATTACCTTTGGATCCACCTGTGCTAAGTGAAGATGCTGGAAATCAAACCAATAAACTATTGTGAAGGCAAACAAGTTGGACACCTAGAAACAAGGATGAGACTTGATCAGACAACTTTATAGAACTTTAGCACAGTCTTGGGTCCCTGCATCTTTAACCTCTGTTCCAAATTATTTAGTACATAATTCAGGGCATTCATATCGTTACATTTAAGGAGCTTTAGGTCGTCTTAAAAGTCTCATTCTTTGTGGAAAACCCTGTACATAAGGGGGTTGCTTGCATTTGCTATGACGTATAATCGGACAGGTCAGGAACAATTTATTGCTAACATTAACAAAACATAGACATAAGAAAGCATATAGATACCAATGCAAAAAGACAGACATAAAAAAACAGCATACAGCCACAGGTACCTCTTTAAAAAACAGATACAAAAACAGCATAAAGATACCTATTTAAAAAAACAGACATAAAAATAGAATATAGATACCTGTACAAAAAAACAGACGTAAAAAACAGCATAAAAATAGCTTTTCAAAAAAAAAGATTATAGATATCTATACAAAAAAACAGACAAAAAAAAATATAGATAACAGTACAAAAAGACAAACATAAAAACAGCATATAGAATAGATACCTGTGCAAAAAGGCTGAAAAGTGCGAATTTACTGAGATCCTAAGTGTCCCAATTTCAAATTGTTAAAACGACAAGGTTTTAAAAAATTAAAAATATTTGAAGAATGTATCTACTAACAAGGAAACTGGCGTTATAACAATAAAATTGATTCCTTAAACGAATGTGTACTGCATTCACGGCATGCAGTGTGAAAGCAAGTATTCAGAATATTTTTTTATTTATGAATTTCTTTAAATATTTTCTACATCATTACTTACGCTTCAATGCTTTTTAATCCTAAGAAGGCTCAGTGATCTCGAAATAAGTAAGTCAGGAAAATCAGGAACAGGATCTAGACGCTCCCAAAGATTGGAGAACCCAGACCACCAATGGGATTATGGGTCCTTTGAATTTTTTTTGGAAAATTATAGAAATCTTGTTTACGGCGTTTAAGGTGTTAAATTTGGCAGTTGCCTCAAGAAGTTCCGTGCGCTTGTAGCGTTGAATTACAAGAAAGAGAGAGATTTGTATATATTATAGGGTTTGGTTAGGTTAAGATTCTTTCTTGGGCCGAGCGCTGTGGCTAGGACACGCTAGGGGGCCGAGCGCCGCGGCTAGGACAGGATAGGGGGTCAAGCGCCGCAGCTAGAACAGCCTCCTCTCTCTGTCTTGTAATTCAACGAGGCATACGCACGTAACTTCCTTGGGCTTCTGCCCTGAAATTTTGGGGTTTGACGAATTTAATATTTAAAATGGGATTCCTTAATGAGTGTAAGAATGAAGAGAGGAGGGAGAAGCATTGCCAACCACTGGAATAAAAAGGAATTAAGTCTTTGCCACAAACTCAGATTTGTTTATTCACATATTTTTTAAACCCAATGTCATAGTTCTTTTTTATATCAAACTAAGCATTCTGTTATATCTAATAATCTAAGTTTGAAATATCTAAGGTAAATATCAGGATGCACTGATTTTTGGATTAAAAATTTTGTGCTTGTTGCCAGACTCAATTTCGTTATCTTTTTATAATTGTCTTAAATGATGGCGAACAATTTAAACTATCGCGGTTTTTTAGAAACCCGAGGTTTCTTGCAAATTTCCGAAAATTTTATTTTTTAATAAACTATTTTAAGACATTATTAAATAAACCTATATGAATATAATTTTAGAATAATAACGGGAAAGTATTTTTTTAAACCCACCCAATTTTTTAACAGTAAGATAGGATTGGTTATGTCCCGAGGCGTATTCAGGGGGGGGGGGCTATGGGGGCTAAGCTCCCCCTTGACCAATGAAATCTATTGATTTCAGGGGGTTTTCAGGCCCCAACGGGTGCTGAGCCCTCCCCCCGGAAAGAGAAAAAAATTTAAGCCCCCCCTGGACAAATTACTGAATACGCCCCTGGTTATGTCCCTAATTCTAAATCGAAGTAATAAGTGTATTCAAATAGGAAAATAAAAATACTTTTTTTCAGTTTATTTACCTGATTCTTATCTACAGAAGGCATAAACGAAGAGAGGTTTTCTGTGATGAAAATAAGATAAGCGCAGCAAAATCCTAAAAAAAACATTGCTTTAAAACATGCTATTTATACAAATATAAGAATGCAGAGACGAAAATATGTTAAGGAAATTGGTGAAATTGGTGAAAATTAGCTATACACTTCAAAATAAAGTCTCTATCGAAACGATGAATTAATAAAATTATATTATAATTGATTAACCCTATCTATAAAATTGATTAGCCATTAACACTATCAATATAATTGATTAATCCTATCTAATAATTGATTAACCATATCTATAAAGTTGATTAACTCCATATAATAATTGATGACCAAATTAAAAAACTGATTAATCTATCTATATAATTGATTAATCCTATCTATATAATTAATTACCCATATATAATAATTGATCAACCTATTGTAAAACCTCTGATTTGACCCCCATTTTGAAGATAACTTAGAAATTCTCTATGAAGAAATATACAGATCCACCCCCCCCCCCCCCCCCCCCCCCCCCGCCTCTCTCCTGGAAGAATCAGGACAGCTGTAATGACAAACATGGAACTTTGCTTTGCAGTATGCTTTGCAGTACACCATAACTATACAAGTGCAACACTGGAGCAGAAATCAGCATGGAGCCGACCATCACTGGAGATGGGTAAAATATCCCAGAACCCCGAGTCCACATGACCATAGTCCACTAACAGGCTGTACACAAGTCTAGAGGCAAGCGTCCAGTGTCCAGAGGCGAGAGTCCAGAGTCCGAGATCCAGAGATGAAATCGGTATCCATCCTCAAATTAATCCCAGGAGATCGTCCAGGAAAATACGTGTAGAATTAAATTTGTTTTTAATTATTTAATTATTTATTTATTTAATTAAATCTCTTTTAAACAGGCCGTAACCTTTTATAGATATTACACCTATCTATATACTTGATTAACTCTATATAATAATTAATAAACCCTATCTATATATTTGATTTACCTATCTGTGATAGAAGAAGAGAAAAGTCTACCAGTGTTCTGCCAGGCATACCCAGTGCTGAGAATCCTATATCACTGTAGGAAATCTCAGTAGATGATACTCTGGGGAAAAAATCATTATAAAATCAAATCAATTCAAGCCATATATTTTACTGTAGTAATAATTATAACATATATTAACAAAACATTAGAACAATAAATACTGTGCAGCAGGAGAGCTTAGATAGCTTGTGCTGTTATCACAAAACCCCTCAGTAATCCTTATGATATATACAGGGTTACCCACACAGGATGAGATTGTAAAGACAACCCAAAACTTTATAAATGAGACGATTAAAAGATTGACATTTTTCTCTGCACTCAATTGTGTATTTTGATCGTTTAGTAAATGATTAAGGACTGAAATAAGCTAGTTTTGGCCTCCAAGGGAATGAACGTAACAACTTTAATACAATCGTCTCTGAAGTCTCATCCTTTGTGGAAAACCCTGTATATGAGATGAAAATTTTCAATTGAGACTTCATCAATCTTACTCAACATAAAAATGTTCGACGCTAAATGCAAATATAGCAGTTGAAAAGTCCCTGTGCCTTTAAGCTTAAAACCTTAAAACCGAATTCATAAGTTTCCAGCTTTGAAAATTATAATTATTTAATCAAATAAAAATATTAATTCTGACCTAAAGATTATAAAACATGGGCTATCTAATTCTGAGTCCAAAGGGAATTTTTCTTAGTTTACAAGTTTACCTAGAAGAAGAAACATGTCTGCTTCTGATATTATTCTTCTCTCCTTTAATATCGTCTTCATCCACATCTACAAGAAGAATAAAAAATAAAATGAAAAAAATCTTTGTGTTGAAAGTGTCGAGCTGTGGGCTGTGGCTTAGAAAATATAATATTCCATCGTTGTTTCTCCATAAAAAAAAAGACTTGCGGATTTAAGCTGCAGAAACAATGAAGGAAAATTTAAAAAATGCTATTTCTTCCTCCTTAATACTCAAGACAGAGATTTTAAAGGGTACCATGGTGAATAGGACATGGCACTGGGACACTTAACTAGACGTCTACAGTCTACACTCCCTTTATCAGTTCAATTTTTCAATTTTTTTTTTACATAAAATAAAGACTAATAAAGCAAAGTAAAATAGTATTATAAAAATTTCTTTTAAAGCCCCCCCCCCCACATGCAGGGTGGAGAGGAGGGGGGCAAATATAACAAAAAATAATCACCTGAACATTTGAGTTCAACATAACTGTTTCCATCCAACGTCTTAGTCTTTAATAAAATTGAATTTTGTCTCAAAATCAATCAAAAACATGATTAATGTGATATATATATATATATTTTTAGTAGATACCGTTACCATATTTCAAATTATTCATTTGGATTTTATTAATCACATTTTTTCAGACTTTTGATTAAATTCGAAATACCATTTTTTTTCCAAACTCACCTTCTCTCCTCTGCTTAAACTTCTTTTCCTACCGTTCTCTGGTCCAGAGTTCAAAATATTTAAAACCTTAAAAATTATTTTTTCTTTTTTTACCATATTGGATCAAAACCCAAAAATTGATAGAATTTAAAGTAGTTTATTCTAGGGCTTATTGCACCCCCCCCCCCCCTTCAAAATGGAAAAAAATTATGGGGGAGGGGGAATTTCCAATGCCACCGATTTAAGCATAGAAAAACTAAATTTTATCTACAATTAATAAATCAAATATGTAAAAAATCAGGATTTTTCCAGATACACCAATAACGGTATAGATGCTATCAACAAGTGCTTTGAAGCTTTGACAGATTCATGTCATGGTACAAAAAGAACATAGGCCTGTAGGCACTTCCCAAATTAGCACGGTATAAAAATATTACCTTGTATTTACAATCTATGAGTAGGAGCATGGCTTTGACAGAAAAATAGCTGACAAGACTCATCACTAGAATACCCTCTAGTAGGCCGGCCTAAACATGTCATGGTGTCCCAATAAACATAGAAATTTAGAGACGAATTCCATATCGTCTTTGTTATAAATTAGAATTGTGATACCTAATTTCTAATACCATAATATTATTATGTCTGCAAGAGTTTATTTAATGAAAACGGTAAATGGCTGTAAAGATATATCTATAATTTCTCCGTAAGATGAACAGTGAAGACGGATAAGTTTACCTTGTTTGTATACTGTAATTTTCTTGTTTTACTAAGTACAACCATATACGCAGTCAAAACAAAAACAAACAAATTGTAAACATAGCAGACGAAATTCTTGCGCTTATTCAGTAGGTATCACTTTACTAAATCAAAGAAGTATTGATATCGAATTCGTCACTGTATTCCCATGTTTATTGGGACACCCTGTAGTATACACACCATTTAAAATTTCTCAAATATGATCCTGGCAAGAAATCAACCAAAACATCCGGGAGAAATTTAAGTTCCAACTTAAGAGACATTAAAGGGATTATAAACATAATTTCGATTCACAACGTTACCCTTTGTGCTTTCTCTGCAATTTCTTACTTGTAAGAAACATGGAGAAACTATCATAATTTAGCACTTTTGATCAAGGGTACCATTGTTAATCGGGCATTGCTATCTTTACATGGAAGGTCACTTGAAATTTAGCTTACAGTCCCTTTCATCATTAAATGTTAATTCAAGTGTTTCTACATAATATAAGCGAAATAAAACGTTATATATGTATTTGGTAGAAGAAGTTAGCTAAAGCTAAACTTAAATAAAATTCATGAGTAAATCTTTTTCAGTGGATTTTTTAGGACCTATCTATTTGCATAAAACGGTAGTTCCTAAAATCCTTTTACCAAGTTTAAAACTATACTTTAAAGACCATGTTTCACCTTTTTAAACGCATATGGCAGACCCAGAACTCCAGCTCCAATAAAGGAAATGAATATATTTGCAAATATCTTAACAGAATCTCGTGCTTCACTCATATTTAATGTTTCAGTCTCTAAATATAAAAGTATTTCATTTAAAGTTTCAGTCTCTAAATATATAAGAATTTTATTTAAAGTTTCAGTCTCTAAATATAAAAGTATTTCATTTAAAGTTTCAGTGTCTAAATACAAAAGAATTTCATTTAAAGTTTCAGTCTCTAAATACAAAAGAATTTCATTTAAAGTTTCAGTCTCTAAATCTAAAAGAATATTATTTAAAGATTCAGTCACTAACTATAAAAATGAATTAACATAACTGATCCTTTCCACGTTGAACTAAAGCATATTGCATGGAAGCTTGAAATCTTAAATGTTTTTAATAGTATCTTGTGGAAGACGATGTTTCGCGGCCTCCAAAACAGAGTTCCACAACTGGAGATGAACGCGGAATTATCCTTATCCTCGTGAATCTATCTTTAGTAGTTATGTAAAAGTTTTGCTGGATAAAGAAATATATATAGAAATACTTCTAACCTAGTTTTGATAGAGTCCGTCCGTCCGACCTCTATTTTGAAAAGCTATTGAAATGAACCAAAATAAGTTTTGAATTTCTATCAAATATTTTGATAAATTAGCTTTTCTCCTATTTATGCGTAAAATCATAACATAACTAGAGGAGCTACGAGGTCCCATATTTGTACCAGTAATGTCGCATAAATTTGATTTTCTTCTCCCGACTAGTTTACAGTGTTCCTATTACGCAAAAATTCATGTTTAATTGACAAAGCACATTCATGTTTCAATCTTTATGTAGTCAAAATAGTATTTGTATCTTTTGTAAAAAAGATATTCCAACACCTTAGGGGGTTTAAAGTCCAAAGAAAATTTGACGAAAAAATCATATAAAGTCATAATTAAGTGACAGTAGAACACCCAACATAACACACGTAAGAAAGGTGGAAAAATAAAAAATGCGCCAAAAAATGCAAGTCTTAAATTGTTTAATGCGTAATAAAATTACAACCATGTAATAAATACCGAGGCCCATAGTAATCTAGATAAATTACGTTGTACATCGTCCGCAGATCTAAATGCGCTCATTAGAAAATATGCAAATCATGTATTGCAATTAACCCAACCTAGATACTTATATATATAACTCCGTCAAGTTATATATAACAACGCATAACTTGTAATTACGTCTGCTATAACTTAAACTTAAGTCTAGAACCTAAATATACTCAGTTGAGGAGTTGAGGAGATTGTGCCCATTGGATTGGAAATGATAGTTTACACGCTAATGTCCAATTGACATCGATAGCTGACGAGAGTGTGTCCATTGGTTTGGCATTGATAGTTTACAAGCTAGTGTCAGTGTTGACATCGATAGCTGACAAGATTGTGCACATTGGTTTAGCATTGATAGTTTACCAGCTAGTGTCCCTATTGACATCGATAGCTGACGAGATTGTGCCCATTGGTTTGGCATTGATATTTACCAGCTAGTGTCCGTATTGACATCGATAGCTGACGAGATTGTGCCCGTTGGTTTGGCATTGATAGTTTACCAGCTAGTATCCGTATTGACATCGATAGCTGACAAGATTGTGCCCATTGGTTTGGCACTGATAGTTTACACATTAGTATCTGGTTGACATCAATAGCTGATGAGATTGTGCCCGTTGTTTGGCATTGATAGTTTACAAGCTATAGTATCCATGTTGACATAGATAGCTGACAAGATCGTGCCCATTGGTTTGGCATTGATAGTTCACGAGTTTGTGTCAGGGTGTTGACATTGATAGTAAAGTGAAACTGAGTTGTATCTGGATAGATGCAGGTTTCAGAAACCCTTATGAAGAAGGGCATTTACCAGGAGTTTCTTGAAGAAAAAATTTGATCCCCTTGTAAATGATTTTTATATTGATTGTTAATTTGTGCACGTTTTTACAGCAAACAAGTTTTAATCTTTCTTTATTCATATTAGCTAGATATTCAACCAGTCTTTTTTTTTATTAGCTATGCAATCACTTTTCATAAAAAGAGAATGACAACATATTCGGGAAATTATTTTTGGTCGCATTTTTGTTTTGAATCAAGAAAGTTTATCACAAGACCTTCACCGAAAGTTAAAACAGAACGACTTAAAAAATGAAAAAGAATGCAAAAATTTCACGAAAAACTGGCGAAAAAACAAGGAAACAGAAAGAAGAAATAAAAGAAATAAAGTATCAAAAAATCAGAAAAAAAATTACGCACCATAATAGATATTCATTTTGTTCCTAAATGGTGGAAAATGTAAAATTTTTCAGAAAAATGAGAGAAATGTGGTGAAAATGTTTATTTTTTACTAATTTTTCATTTTGGGAGACATTTTAGTCTATTTAGAAGTTTTTGAACAATCATTTTTATTTTCTTCTTCAAATTTGAATTACCCTGAAAAAGTATGAAATATACTATAAAAACAAGCAGAAATCTTTCAGTATATTTATTTAGAATATTATATATGATTATCCTGCTGTTTACCCGCGCTTGGTATTAAATCATGATTTTAGCTGAAATTGCCCGTGGAATTTCAAAAATTTCAAATATTATTTTAGCTTACCCATGGGTTTACTCAAATTTAGCTATAGCGAATATATCTTTTATTCTATATAATAAAACAAGACATTCATGTATACGTTCCCTTTGGCCGGCCAAACGACTGAACCGAATGGGCTGAATTTTTGTGAACAATCATGAGTAGCCTGGAGATGACAAAGGCTAAAAAAAATTAAGGTCTATTTCTTCAAAATCTTTATTTTTTTTAAATATTTTTCATTATTAGTTTTTTTGTTCTTTTTTCACGGGCAACGTTGGGCCCTGCAGGAAGAATTCTGTATACAGTATTATTATTTCTATTTTTCCGATCATAACTCATGAACCCCTGGACTGATTTGTCTTAAATTTTTTTTGAGGATCTATTTAGAACCTTAGGAATGTTCTTACATTAATTTAAAAGTTCTAAGGTAAGTTGTTTGACTTTTACAACGAAAGTCTAGTTCCCTGACAAAGTTGGGTTGCCAAGTATTCCAAGCTAGTATAAATATAATATATATATGAGTGAAGAGCTTTATTCTATAGAAAATATTTGATAATAAATTACCTCCGTGCAGTACAGTAATATCAAAATTCTGTTACATAATTCTTCGTACAACTAAGACCTCGCTATTTTTTCTGAAAACACTATTATTTAATATTAAATAAGTATTTATTTGTGTCCTTTAAGCAATATGATATACAAGCCTTAAAGGGCGCTCCGCGCCCATCTTCTAAATTAATTGTGAACATGTTCTCTTTGTGTACATCGTAAAACAAAACAAAAATAATTCGCGGATTGGTAATTTCCTAGTATACGATTTTTGGACCCCCCCGCCCCCCCCCTCCTATCAATTTTGTACATGGGTCTGACAGGAAGTGTCTTAACTTAACCTAACCCGTGGCCGCAGCGCTCGGCCCCCTAGCCCATCCTAGCCGCAGCGCTCGGCCCAGAAAGTGTGGCCGCAGCGCTCGGCCTTCTCTTAACCTAACCTAACCTAAAATAAATAATAATAAATTTGCTGAAAAATAAATGGTCATGTACAAAATTGATAGCAGGGGGGGGGCGGGGGGGGGGCCCAAAAATCGTATACTAGGACAGACCCTTCACAAAAAAATTTCGTGGATTTTCAACATTTTCAAAAATTGGGTACCCAAAAATTTAATATAGATCGAATTTTGATAAAGACAAATATTTGAAATTTTGATCATTCATAAACCTTCCCTGTGGTCACGTGATGTCACACAAAAAATTTGGGCCCGATCGGTTCAGCCGTTTAGACGTTTATTGGATACAAACAACCAGACAAACAGACAAACAAGCCAAATTTATAAATAGATTTCAGTACAATACAGTAGTTATAGGAGAATATGTAACTACAAAGAAGCAACCTTAGATTTCAATTTTGATTTACCTCAAGCTTTTAAACAGCCTGATTACACATAAGCATAGAAACAAAGAGAAGATGTCGATTAAAAAAAGCAATACTCTGATTACTTGTTAACTTGTATTTAGAAAAAAAGCATGTTAACAATCAAAACTTAAATAAAAAGTCGTCTTCATTGTATTGATATAATCGCTTACCACTGTATGTTAGATAATTTTCAATTGTACGAATTTGAAAATTAGGCTTCACAGTTCCTTAGGAGAAATTCCACACACAAAAAAAAACAGTATAGATTCAAACGTATTTATATTAACCGAACACTAGCGAAGGACTATAAAAACTTACTTTCTATTAAAACCGAAACCACTTGTGCATCTCTTTTCATATAGCTAAAATTGTCTAATTACAACTAATTTCTTTTTTTATTATTATTAGAAAACACTTGTTGATTTCTAGCAGACCGACTTTTGTACACTAGATACAGGAATATAAAGGGTGAGCCGAAATATGTTTAGAAATAATGTCAATACAAACATAAACAAATTTTTGCTAATTTTTTTATCGCAGAAAAATTTACGTATTCACCTCCAACAATTTTTGCTAATTTTTTATCGTAGAAAAAATTACATATTCATTCCCTCCCGGCCAGCGATCTAAGCAGCTTCCTTCCAAAAACGAGATTTTAACGAACTTTGCTATTTGAAATTGCCGTGCTTTGAAAAATAACAGAATTTTTTCTAAAATCTTGATCCGAATAAAATTTCAAGATAGTGGTGATGGGCTCAGCAAATAAATACAACATTGTAAATTTTATGATCTTGATTAATTATCATTTTTTTCGCTTTAAGTTTCAGCTCACCCTAGTGACAGGTAGTGAATGTACATTTGCGACGCATGCGCACTTTGTGCATAACAGGTCGAATTATAACTCCGGTTTTGATGATGTGTACCGTGTTGGATTGCGTAGACGCAATAATCTTCAAATTATCTCGTATTTGTATTTGGTACTTTCAGTGTGAATCTATCTTTGGCACAATAAGTGATTGTTATAAATTGTTAAAAAAAAATTCTAAAGATTGTGATTGCTGAATGAACATACCGTATGTTTGCAACTTTTTCATGATTTGTTTTATTTCAGATTCAAGATGCCGATGACACCGACTATGCGTAAGGCGAACGAGAAGAACGCCAAGAACGTGACTAAACGTGGGAACGTGAGCAAGACGAGCAAGAAGGGAGAGGGATACCCTGTTAGTCCAGAACTTATTGTAAGTATATTTAAATTGAATTCCCCCCCCTTTATTTCCTTTTCCAGTTCCTCTTACGTGAGGTTATGTGCTAAGCCTTCTCTATTGGGGCTCATTTACATAGAAAAAATAATAATTCAAAGTAACTGATTAGACAACAAAAAAAGGTATATTCCTAGAGAACGATTTTTGGACCCCCCCCCCGTGGGCCCCCCCCCTTCTATCAATTTTGTACATGACNAAAATGTCATAACCTAACCTAACCCTAAAATAATAAAAAATAAATTATAATAATTTGGCTGAAAAAAGTGGTCATTACAAAATCGATAGGAGGGGGGTCCAAAAATCGTTCTCCAGGACAGACCCAAAAAAAGAGTTTTGCTGCATGGCAAGGAAACATAACTTTCATAATTGAATCTCTGTAGTTCCTACAGTCTCATCCCTTGCGAGTAATTTCTCATTAAATTTTGTCCAATTTCAGGCTTTGTTTGTGTTCGTTGTGATTGGATCTGCTGTGTTCCAGATCATCCAGTCTGTTTGGGTCGGTGGTCCATAGATATTTTCTCAATGGTCCATACATTCAGGTGGACCACTGGTCCAGACCTCAACCATATGGTCCACAAACCTGTTCCATATAATCTCCCTAATACAGCCTCCATACTTGTTATGAAATGTTTTCTTGTAAATTTAAATTCGTTAATGTTTGGATATTCTTATTATGATTTATCTGTCGAACACAAGAATTATAAAACAGGTTCAGGGAGTTAGATAAATCTCTTTAACTACAAGGTATTTCCCTTCTTTTTCATCTAATTCATACACAAATTGTGAGCTAACAACTTTATATCTTATCTGATTTAGTCTCCTTCACAATCCTCGAGCTGTAATAGGAGATGCTCCACACATTTAGTATCATCTTTTTCTTAAAATCAAATAAGGAAAACAATATTGACTTGTGATGGACGAAGTGATCCTTAAAATAATTGAGCATTTATCCATATCGCAATCTTTATCAAACATTTAATGCGTTTTTCATATGTGACTATTTTTGCAAGTTTTTATTTTTTTTATTTTAGTTATTCAAGATTATTAATAATTATTATTCTTTCATTATTTGTTGGGAAATAAACAACATGGGCAAGGAAAACTAGTGTTCAACAGGATTAAATTATTATTTTTTTCTCGAGAAACTCTAGCATGGCCATTCTAGGTATTAATTTCAGAGTTACTGTCGGAATAAAATTCAGTGTTTAAGATGTTGGAAACTAAAACTAAAATGTCAAATATTAGAGTTAATTTTTAAGTTAAAAGCACAAGGGCTTGTTTTGTGAAAGGGCAATCTACTGAACAATCAGAGGATAATTTTCAGCAATGAACGAGTTTTGTTAAATTTTAACTGGAAATATGGCACATTTTCGAAAGTTATCATTTTATCACATTATTATTGCTAATTCATTTTTACTTGCCTAGCTTTTACTTGAGTCACATTATAATTTTTTAGTAATTTACCAAACCATCCGAACCTTGAACTACTGGGCCAAAAAAGGAAGAAGCGGCGAACATTAAACGATTTCAAAGAAAGATTCTAAGGTTTAATTCCTCGGATTGTTTTGCGCAATTTTTACGTTTACGACGGCCTACAGTTGCAGGTTTCATTCGTTCCTTATAAAATTGTTTCGCTGCATACATTTTTTGAACCTTTAGTTTGTTCTATTATGCCGTTCGTTACTTATTTTTGTTCGTTACACACTCTTTTATGCTTGGGTTACTGTGAAAAAAGCAAAACATGTTTTATGAAAATATTTGGATAAAAATGTGAAATATTGATACTTAAAGCACAATTTTTGTCGTTAACATGTGCAACGGTCATTAACGAATCTGTTCGTTTCTCGTTCGCTAATTTATGATCGTTCTAACTCTGGTCGTGAATTTTTTCGAAGAATGTGGTCGTTCAAAGGAACCCATGACGATTTCCAAAATATTTTTACAAATTATTACATACTTATATATTTCACCAAAATTACATTAATGTTCCATCAAAGTCTCTGATATTTAGCACCGAGTGATAAGTCTTGAATTATCACAGATTAATAACGAACTGAGTAGTTCCCTGTATTCTCTTCTTCTTTATAAACAACCTTAGTCTTCCGAAAGGTCTCTAAGCAAGCCTAAAACAAAAACAAAGTTTTGACCATGCTTAAAAAAAATGTTGCTTGATATTGAAAATCTAAAACAAAAAATGTCTGGCTATGTAAATGTTTATGATTACGAGTGTTGAATACTAGCCAGTAAACCAGATCACGTCACATGACCACATGCGTTCATGTGGGGTCAACATTAAAACTTGTAGAAATAAAGATGAAATATGGGTTCATATACAGGCAGGGTTAACAACAAAAGGATGTAACTTGGATGACTACTTATTATGCTCACAAATGGTCATAAAATGCAGTCTTCATTTGTATTAAAAATCTTTTCTACTGATCGCTAAAAAAGAAAAGAACTGGAAAGTTAAGCATTTAAATCAAATGAAAGATCAAACCCAACCCGTCATAAAACAAAAAGAAAAACGTTTAATTAGAAGCAGTTATTGCAACAGTTAATTATTTTTAATAATAAAAAGAAAGACTAAGATAAGTGTCAATAACCAAACTGGTCTTTTGGATTTTAATTAATTACAGAAGATGTCTTTTGTTGCTAAAAAATTTGGTCCTCTTTAATTTTTCATAGTTTGCAACTAGCCATTGTTCACTATTTTTATAAGCTCATTTAGTTTAATGTAATATTCACTAACAACTAGGGTTTCCAATCAGAATTTTGCTGCGCGCAACTGTTCGGAATTGTGGAGAATTGCGCAGAAATTACAGGGCCTGCAATTGCGGCAAGTAAAATCTATTTGCGTTGCGTTGGAAACCCTACTATACAAAAAAACAATCTGCAAATATTAGAAATAAAGTTTTTGGGATGAACCAACTTAAATATACCAGAAGTAAATAAAGATTTATAAACATTTAAGGGAAAAAAGTTGCAAGTTTAAGCACTTTCCTGAATTTTTTCGGTAAATACCTGTTTCGGAAGTTTAACATGAGTGTCCTGACACTTCTCATTGGTGAGGGAAACTGTACACATCTCTGTCTCAACCTCATCAGCTGACTCAGCACGTGGTACGGCAGGACAACGCTTTTCGGTTATCTGAACAACAGTAATCCTCAGAATTGGAACAAATTTTTAATGTTTTTTATCAAGAAAAGGATTTGAATGATGAAAAATGAAATCTAATTTTCAAGGTCTGAATGATTATTTTTAATTGAATGGTATACTTACAGACTGCAGTGGCATAGCAGCTTGCTAATAGCAAGGAAAAGGAGTCAAAGGAGGCAAAAAATTTAATTAAAATTTTTATAATCAAATTGAAAAAACTACAACAATCATCTTTAAAAGGCAAAATAATAAAATTTAAAAGTGCTCAAAGGATTTAATGAAAAATTTCATGGTAATTCAAATTTCAATTTTTTTTCTTCTTTTACTATACATAGTTTGACCACTAAAATATATCTTTCTTTTCCCAAAAGCTGAAATCCCTTTGCTATTTCTCATTATTTCATAGTATTTCCTAGTATAATGACATCTTTGATAAAAGGTTCGGATGATTGTTTAAGAAAGTAAATACCCTGGTTTGAATTACCTCTTGACATCTTATTCTTGGAAGAATAATTTCTTTAGTGATGCAAGTATCATAGGGTTGGGGCAGCTTCATCAGGATTTTCTTCTCAACAGGATAAACTTCAGGATACAGAGTACAAACTTTCTATTAAAAAAGAGGAAAAACTAAAATTTATTCTGCTTTCTACTAGTTTTCATTATTTATACATTGAATTGAAAAGAATGACTGAAAATTTTAAAAGTACCTTTATCTGCTCCTTACAGTATGCAGGTTCATGATATGCTCCTAACATTAAAGATTAAAGGGACTGTATGCGTAGTTTTAAATGACCTTCCTTGCAAATATTGCAATGCACGATTTACACTGGTATCCTTAAAATCTTTGTCCTGGTTAAATATAAATCAGATATCTGTGTTCTTAATTTTGATAAATGATTATTTTCTATTAAGGTTTCACAAAAAATGTAACCTTCTATTTCAGGAAAACGTAGAAATAAAACACTTAGTAAAACGACAATATCTTCTACAATATTGATCAGATGAAGGTTTCAAAGGTACAGTTGTAAATCAGGCATTCCTATCTTTTCAATTGAAATTATGCTTTAGTGAGTTAAAATATAATTTGGTTGTATTCTATTTTCGGAAATCTGCATGAAACTTTACATAAAAAGGCAGAAAACATTTTGATAATGCCAAGAATTTTGTGATTATTTTTTCAAGAATCATATTTGCTTGTTTAAGCAGGTTGACAAATGAAGTATGCAAATTATTTCAAATATTAAAGACCATTGTCATATTTTGTGGGACACCCTGTATAAAGTATACCTTTAGAATGTGGGTTTTCACAGACCACCTCCTCCTCACACCTTTCAACCCACTTGACATCTAAAATCTTAGCAACAGCAGCAACCTAGACGTAAAAGGTTAAGGTCTATAGCAGCAGGATGTAATTTGAAAAGGTCACATTTGAAACATTGAAGACTGAAGGCTTAGTTAATTATCACAGAAAAAAAACGCCATGAAGCAAGCTCTTTTTTAAGATATACAGTTTCATTCTGGTTTACAAGCATAGTCATAGGCTCTAGAGTTGGGATTTTGGCAGAATCAGCTGGTTAAAATGGATTTAACTATAAAATTGTCATTATTGTATTGATATATACGCCGAATACTGCAGTTACCTCCTGTAGAGAATATGCTACAGCACAGACCTCTGTAAGTTCAATATCCTCATCCTCTACACACACAGTTCTTGTCACCTAGTAAATTTCCATTCTTCAGCTTCTCAGGCTTACAAGCAGTCTCTAGTTCAGGCACACACACCTAGATTATATCAAGGGTTTATATTTTTAGGAATCGGTATCCCCATGCCCCAAAGTGGCATAAAGTGGTCAGCGTATATATCAATACAGTGTTGTTTACTGAAATGGTGATATAATACAATTTCAGAAAATTTTATCAACTTTCCCCAAAAGATTCTATATTGTTCATGTTTATTATAATCACCCCAAAATTGTTTCCTCTAACCCAAATTTTTTTAGGCTTTCTTAAAGGAATATTGAGAAGTTGGGAAAAGTAAAAAAAATGTAAAAAGGAAAATTTGAATAAAGGGACTGTAAATGTAATTTCATGTGACCCTCCATGCAAAGATGGCAATGTCCGATTCACTATGTTACCCTTAAAATTTTTATCTAATCAGATACAGGGTGTCCCACGAAACATGACAATAGGAAGACGACTTGAAAGTCGTCTTTGGTATTTGAATTTATTTGTGACATTTAGTCTTCTATCTANTTACGTTTAGTGCAAGTTGCATATAGAGCAGGGGCCTTCTTTCCCCTCATAAACAATTTTATTTATTCAAGAATTAGTTTGAAAAATGTTCTCAGATATTTTTCTAGAAAAAGTTTTAAAAGTGTGAAATATATTCTAATGTGTATACGGAAGGAAAGGGAGAACTAGTTCTCATAAAAATTTTACATCTTAATACTTCAATGACTTCAATGTTTGATATTTCAATATTTTAATGATTCTTTAACTAAATTTTCAATATTTTTTAAATATCAACATTTTACTGCAATATTTCAATGTTTTCGTATTTTTTTATTTACATATTACCATAGTTTAATATTTCGATATTTTAATACTTTAAACTTCAATATATAGTTTTTCTATACCTGATATGTCAATATCTCAGAATTTTAAATTTTGTTTAACATTTCAATATTTGGATATTTCGCTACATCATGCAATACTTCAATTCTTCAATTTCTAAATATTTCAAGAATTCATTTTTTCATATAAAAATGATTAATCATTTTAATATTTTAATATTCCAATATTTTAATATTTTAATATTTCACAATATAATTTCAATATTTTAATAATTTACTATTTCAATACTTTCATATTTCAACCTCAAAATATAATTTCAATATTTTAATTTTTCAATATTTCTCTTTTGTAATAAAGAAATATTAATGCATAGAAAAAACACTATCTGAAAATATGTATTTTTCTACACACACTAGTTGTAAAATAGTATTTTTCTAATAAACTTTATCTGTAAAATTGTATTTTTCTATAAATACTCTCTGTAAAATTGTATTTTTTCTAAAAACACTCGCTGTAAAATTGTATTTTTCGAACAAAAACTATTGGTAAAATTGTATTTTCTAAAACACTATCTGAAAAATTGTATTTTCTAAAAATACTATTTGTAAAGTTGTATTTTTCAAAAACTATTACTGTAAAATCTATTTTTCTAAAAACACTATCTGTTTAATTATATTTTTCTAAAATGTCTTTGAACATTTTAATTTTACTAATAGATTCACAGAACAGTGACATGATCCATCATTTCCTTTCGTAAACACAAACATATACAGGGTTACCCACAAACATATACAGGGTTACCCACAAACATATACAGGGTTACCCAAAAACATATACAGGGTTACCAACAAACGTATACAGGGTTACCAACAAACATATACAGGGTTACCCACAAACATATACAGGGTTACCAACAAACGTATACAGGATTACCCACAACATATACAGGGTGGATTTTCAAAATTTTCAAAAATTTAATGAAGATCAAATTTTGATGGAGACGAATATTTGAAATTTTGATCATTCATAAACCTTCCCTGTGGTGACGTGATGCGAAACGCTCAGGATATCTAGATGGGGTTTCCGGGTACAGGCTAAAACTACAAAATGTGTAAATGACGCCCTGAAATTATTTTATCATCATGCATTTAATCAGAAGATTAAATTCAGGGAATAGGAATAAAGGGAAAGGAAATGGCGCTGGTCTGGCATGAGAAAGCCAGTCGCACTGCTTTGCAGACCAGTACGGTAACCTTACACACACATGACTACAGTCAAGGAAATTGCAGAACAATGTCGTCAATTATAATTAAACTTGAATAACGAGTAGTTTATTGTAAACTTTAATCAAATTATATTCTTTGCATGAAAATTTGGCTTATAGTGTTGACTTAAATATGTAAATAATATATTACATCCATATTAAACTCATTTTTAAGTAAACAATTAACAATAAACAAATGTACTCTCCTAGACTGTATACAAATACCGAGATTCATACGTACTGTATAAACATACAGTACACACCTTTGGTACGGTATCCTCACACACACTCTTTTGGTACAGAAACACACACATGACGTTTCCGCCCCCTGATTAAATTCGGTATTTTGCTTAAAAATATCTTGTAAATTCTGATGAATGATGTGACAAAATGATAGTAAACCTGCACACATAAATCCAGACTGCTATGAAAAGTTGCATCAGTTTTCAAGACCGGGTCGACTTTGAAGTCTCACAATTACTAAATCACAAATACTATTTTGTAGCACTAGATATGTACATTTTAAAAAATGTATTCTTTAATCCCTGTATCCCTTAATCTGTGTATCCTCATCTGTGTATCAATCCCTGCAGTATCTTTGAATCTCTATATTTGTGAATTAATTCCTAATCCTTTAATCTCTGTTTCCTTTAATCTCTTTATCCATATCTATGTATCAATTCTATCAATCCTTGTATTCTTTAATCTCTATATCCATATATGTGTATCAATCCTTGTATCATTTAATCTATAAATCATTATCTGTGTATCAATCCATGTATCTCTGTATCCCTGTATCTCTTTATCTCTGTACCCCAGTTGTATTTCTGTACTCCCGTATCCCAGTATACTTTTATCCTCCTTGCATCCCTGTATCCTTTTATCCTTGTATCCCTGTATCTTTGTATCCCTGTACCTTTGTATCCCTGTATCTTTGTATCCCTGTATTGTTGTAATACTTTAGTACTGTATCCCTTTATCATTTTATTTTGTATTCCTATATCCTGTAGAGTGCAGGCTGTGTCCCCAAAACTCATTAGGCTGATTTTTATCTGACTGAGCCAAAGCAATTTGTCAACTTTATTTTTACATGTTTGTATTTATATATCTATTAAATTGTTTGTCTGTTTCTTCTTTTGAAAGTATGTTCGTTACATGTTTATTCTATGTTACTATTTGTCTGAATATCTTGATATCTTTATGTCTACTACTAGNTCCTCCAAGGTTCTGATTCCATTCTTCAGCTTCTCAGGCTTACAAGCAGTCTCTAGTTCAGGCACACATACCTAGATTATATCAAGGGTTTATATTTTTAGGAATCAGTATCCCCACCCCTCCATGCAGCATAAAGTAGTCACCATATATATATCAATACAGTGCTGTTTACTGAAATGGTGATATAATTCAATTTCAGAAAATTTTATCAACTTTCCCCAAAAGATTCTATATTGTTAATGTTTTATTATTATCATTCCATCATTTATTCCTCTAACCCAATTTTTTTGCTTTCTTAAAGGCCAATCTTGAAAAGTTGAGAAAAGAAAAAAATTGAACAAAGGGACTGTAAATGTATTTTCAAGTGGCCCTCCACGTAAAGATGGCATGATGTCCGATTTACTACGGTACCCTTAAAATCTTTCTATCCAGATATGATCTATAGATATCAATGTTTACAATTTGCGAAACTGATTATTTTCAACTAACTTGCTGCGCATTTCTACAGCAGGGAAACATAATGGAATTATTAGAAATAAACACTGTTAAACCTAGAAAAATGAAAAATATATCTTCCACATTATTGTTCAAATAAAGGTTTCCAGGGTACCTTTGTGAATCGTGCATTGCTATCTTTGCATTGAAGTAACCTAAACTTACTCTTACTGTCCCTATAAGGAGGTTAATTTACTCTAGAAGGTGAGAATGGGCTGATATCTTGATATCTTTAACAAAAATTAATGTTCAATTTACAATGTCAGCATAAACATAAATTAACTGGAAATCTGACTTAGCAAATTGTAGTTTTTTTTAAATTGAACACACAACAACAAAAACAAGTTATGATTCTTAAATGTTTATAAATCAAAACTTTTAGGGAAAATTTATATTAAAAAAATAGACAAGGGTTTAAAGAAATTGAACAAGTGTAATAAGAAATTTTTATTTTTAATGAATTAATGTTAGAACGTCTAGTTATTTAAAAGTATTCTTTTGTATTTAAATTTTTATTAGATTTAAATTAGTTAGAAGTTGAACTACTTTACACTATTTAAACAGTTCGGTCCTTATTCGAGGAAGTTATCACTTTCGATCACGATTTAACTTTTTTGCACTTTTTTGTCGGCTGATGCATTTTAAGTGAAACAGAATAAAAAGAAAACTTATTAAGATTAAGGTTTGTGGTATTCTATAGATCACATCTAAATCACAACGTGATTGAACTCATATTAAAAGTAACCGTAAGCATCTCGCCCCGGTTAGTCCGGAGTGATTTGTTTATTTTTTTTCAAATACCTGAACTTATTTTTCTAAAACCCGAACATATTTCCTAAAACCTGAACTTATTTTTCTAAAACCTGAACATATTTTCTAATACCTGAACATGTTTTCTAATACCTGAACTAATTTTCTAATACCTTAAACTTATTTTTCTAATATCTGAACATATGTTTCTGATACCTGAATATATTTTCTAATACCTGAACATATTTTTTCTAATATCTGAACTTATTTTTCTAAAACCTGAACATATTTTCTAATACCTGAACATATTTTCTAATACCTGAACTTATTTTCTAATACCTTAAACTTATTTTTCTAAAACCTGAACATATTTTCTAATACCTGAACTTATTTTCTAATACCTGAACTTATTTTCTAATACCTTAAACTAATTTTTTCTAATATCTGAACTTATTTTTCTGATACCTGAATATATTATCTAATACCTAACATATTTTCTAATACCTGAACTTATTTTTCTAATACCCGAACATATTTTCAAATGCCTAAACATGTTTTCTGATATCTGAACATATGTTTCTGATACCTGAATATATTTTCTAATACCTGAACTTATTTTCTAATACCTGAACATATTTTTCTTCGTAGCTCAGTGTACATTTTTCCCCATAGGTGGGTACTTCAGGTGATTTTTCAATTGGTTGTTGGTAAGAGGGCTGCTTGTAGGATGGTTGTTGATAGGATGGCTGTTGATAAACTGGCTTCTGGTAGGCTGGTTGCTGGTAGGTGGGTTGTTGATAAATGGGTTGCTGGTAGGCTGGTTTAACTGGTTGAACTTTATAAACCTGTTGAGTGGGTTGTCCTGCATGTCCTGCAGGTCCTGAATGTGCTCCATGAGAAACACTTGAATATGATCCACCGCCGCCGAGACTGGTTCGAAAGAATGTTTGGCTTGTGAGAGACCCAACACAGCACACAAATACAAGAGACTAAAATATTAGATAATGTTTATTGAAAATATTTTTAAAATTATAATTTCCCTCATTTTACTGATCGAATAAGAACTTTACTAAAACTTGAGTACGGTCAATTTCTCTATAAATGCCCTTCCTTCCTCAATTTCATTGTTTGAAAGTAAACTCCGTCCCTTTTTCCATTTCACCGTTTGAATGTAAACGCCCACCCTCCCTCCATATTTCACCGTTTGAATTTAAACGCCCACCCTCTCTCCATATTTCACCGTTTGAATGTAAACGCCCACCCTCTCTACATATTTCACCATTTGAATGTAAACGCCCTCCCTCCCTCTACATTTCACTGTTTGAATGTAAACGCCCACCCTCCCTCTATATTTCACTGTTTGAATGTAAACGCCCTCCCTCCCTCTACATTTCACTGCTTGAATGTAAACGCTCACCCTCCCTCCATATTTCACTACTTGAATGTAAACGCCCTTAATTTCACTGCTTGAATGTAAACGCCCTGCCTTTCTCAATTTCACTGTTTGATCTTAAACGCCTTTCTCAATTTCACTTTTTATTTAATGTAAATTCCTTGCCTTCCTCTATTTCTGCTGGAATATAAACGCCCTTAAGTTTGAATGTAAACGCCCACCCTCCTTCTATATTTCACTGCTTGAATGTAAACGCCCTCCTTTTCTCAATTTCACTGTTTACTTAAATGTAAATTCCTTGCCTTCCTCTATTTCTGCTGGAATATAAACGCCCTTAATTTCACTGTTTGAATGTAAACGCCCCCCCTCCCTCAATTTCACTGCTTGAATTTAAACGCCCTCTCTCCCTCCCCTCTCTTGCTTGAATCAGGAAGTAAAGCAGTGTGACCTATAGAGATATAGTTCTTTAAATACCTTTAGATGAAACATGGTTACTACTAGACCGGTAGAGACGGAGTAACAACCAGTAAACATTAACCTTTACTATTTATACCTTCTACTATCTTTAAAATTGTATTTTTCTAAAATGTCTTTGAACATTTTAATTTTACTAATAGATTCACAGAACAGTGACATGATCCATCATTTCCTTTCGTAAACACAAACATTTACAGGGTTACCCACAAGCATATACAGGGTTACCAACAAACATATACAGGGTTACCCACAAACATAAACAGGGTTACTCACAAGCATATACACTGTATATGCTTGTGGGTAATTATATATATTATACAGGGTTACCAACAAACATATACAGGGTTACCCACAAACATAAACAGGGTTACCCACAAACATATACAGGGTTACCAACAAACATATACAGGGTTACCCACAAACGTATACAGGGTTACCCACAAACATAAACAGGGTTACCCACAAACATATACAGGGTTACCCACAAGCATAAACAGGGTTACCCACAAGCATATACAGGGTTACCAACAAACATATACAGGGTTACCCACAAACATAAACAGGGTTACCCACAAACATATACAGGGTTACCCACAAACTTATACAGGGTTACCCACAAACATAAACAGGGTTACCCAAAAACATATACAGGGTTACCCACAAACATAAACAGGGTTACCAAGAAACATATACAGGGTTACCCACAAACATATACAGAGTTACCAACAAACATATACAGAGTTACCCACAAACATATACAGGGTTACCCACAAACATATACAGAGTTACCCACAAACATATACAGAGTTACCCACAAACATATACAGGTTTACCCACAAACATATACAGGGTTACCCACAAACATATACAGGGTTACCCACAAACACATACAGGGTTACCAACAAATATATACAGGGTTACCCACAAACATAAACAGGGTTACACACAACATATACAGAATTACTCACGAAGATTGAGACTTCAGATACGATTATACGGAGTTTATATGGTTTTTGATCTTACATATTCATTCATTTGGCTTAATTTTTTAGTAACCTATTTATCTTTGCTAAATCATCTAAAATGCCACTAAAAGCATAAATAAAAGGCCCAGAAAAAAAATCTGCAATTCATTTGTTCTAAGATTTAGGTCGTCATTAAAGTTTTATCCTTTGTGGGTAACACAGGTTTTTTACAAATATCTTGTGAATTCTGATGAATGATGTGACAAAATGATAGTAAAGCTGCAAACATAAACCCAGACTGCTATGAAAAGTTGCATCAATTTTCAAGACTGGGTCGACTTTGAAGTTTCACAATTACTTGATCAAATCAAATCAATTGTATCCTTTAATCCCTGAATCCCTTAATCTCTGTATACTTATTTGTATAGCAATCCTTGTATTCTTGAATCTCTATAGTTGTGAATTAATCCCTGTATTCTTTAATCTCTGTTTCCTTCAATCTCTGTATCCTTTTATCTCTGTATCCTTAATCCCTGTATCTTTTAATCTCTGTGTCCCTATGCGTGTATCACTCCCTGTATCCTTTAATCTCTATATTTGTAAATTAACTTTAATCTCTGTATACTTAAATCTCTGTGTCCTTTAATCTCTGCATCCTTTAATCTCTCTATCATTATCTGTGTATCAATCCCTGTATCATTTAATCTTTAAATCAATATCTGTTTATTAATCTCTGTATCCTTTAATCTCTGTATCCTTTAATCTCTTTATCCTTTAATCTCTCTATCCTTATCTGTGTATCAATCCCTAAATCCTTTTATCTCTAAATCCATATATGTGTAACAATCTCTGTATCCTTTAATCTCTATATCCATATCTGCTCATCAATTTTATCTATCCTTGTATTTTTTAATCTCAATATCCATATATATATGTGTGTATCAATCCTTGTATCCTTTAATCTATATATCATTATCTGTGTATCAATCCATGTATCTCAGTACCCCTATATCTCCGTATTTCTGTATCCCTCTATATCTGTATTACTGTATCTCTTTATCTCTGTACCCCAGCTGTATTTCTGTACTCCCGTATCCCAGACCCCAGTATACTTTTATCCTCCTTGCATCCTGTATCCTTTTATCCTTATATCCCTGTATCTTTGTATCCCTGTATTGTTGTAATACTTTAGTACTGTATCCCTTTATCATTTTATTTTGTATTCCTATATCCTGTAGAGTGCAGGCTGTGTCCCCAAAACTCATTAGGCTGATTTTTATCTGACTGAGCCAAAGCAATTTGTCAACTTTATTTTTACATGTTTGTATTTATATATCTATTAAATTGTTTGTCTGTTTCTTCTTTTGAAAGTATGTTCGTTACATGTTTATTCTATGTTACTATTTGTCTGAATATCTTGATATCTTTATGTCTACTGCTAGCCTACAAATCTGCTTTTTTGAAGTCATTTCTTTATGTCTGTTTTAATTTTTGCTTGGATACTTTATATTTTTATGTCTTCTTTGTTTTCCTGTTTATAATGGTTTGTTTGTTTTAATTTTTTGTCTTTTTGTCTATATTCTACCTTTTATACTTGTTCTAATTTGCTGCTAGTTTTTATTACTTTATTCTTGCTTTGCTTGTGCTTATTGCCCTAATTTACTTTCTGTATTTATGTCTTTATGTCTTTATGTCTTTATGTCTTTATGTCTTTTATCTTTATGTCTGCCTGACTAATTCATTGCTTGTCTTTATGTTCACTAAACCAAATGGAAAAGGTCAGAAGGGATTAAGAAGAAAAGAACCCATGATGATTGGAGCCAAGAAGGCATAAAGAGAAGATTAGGACTAAAAATTGGAGAAGATTTAACCAAATCAGGGGCAGTAGATTAGGAAGAAAATGGACTAAATAAAAATAAAGATAAATTTGGACGCCAAATAAATCATACTCTAGCCTCTGAAAGGCGGAGCTTTTGCGGCGGATTGAAACGGCTGCCAGTGTGATCCTTCTCTTGCCTCTGAAAGGCAGAGCTTGTTTGGCGGAGGAATCCATTTCTAGGCCCATTCATGGCGGAGAGATTCTGCTTTTACCCAGGATTGCGGAGTATGTTTTGAGGATGCTTTAAACCCTAGAAGACGGGTTTTGTTTACTCTGTTTGGCGGAGGGATCCTGATCTTGACGCAGAGTATGTCTGGTGGAAGGGTCCTGCTTTTTCCCAAGAGGGCAGTGTATGTTTGGCGAAGGCGTCCTGATTTACCTCTACAGGCGAAGTATGTTTGGCAGAGACGTCCTGATTTTACCTCTACAGGGCGAAGTATGCTTGGCGGAGGCGTCTTGATTTTACTTCTACAAGGCAAAGTATGTTTGGCAGAGACGTCCTGATTTTACCTCTACAGGGCAAAGTATGTTTGGCAGAGACGTCCTGATTATACCTCTACAAGGCAAAGTATGTTTGGCGGAGACGTCCTGATTTTACCCCTGTGAAAGTGTGAGGGCCCAGAAAGGTCTGTAAACGAGCCCCATTAAGAAACAAAGCTTGAAAGCCTGGGGTAATCAGGCCTAGGCCAATATACAGGATTCAACAATAGAAATACGAGGGAACATAGGGAGGACATTAGTAGGACATACATCCAAGGATCTATAGATAGATAGATAGATAGATATATAGATAGATAGATAGATAGATAGATAGATAGATATATAGATAGA